TCAATATTAGCCCCAAAAAAAGTTAATTTCCTTTTGATTATTTAAATATGAAAATAAATTGTAGAAATTATATATTTTATATATACATTAGTATAACATTTTCAAATGTATGGCAATATTGTAACATACATTTCTCTATTTAAAAAAATATATTATAATACGGTATACGACAAATGCTAAAGAAATTTGTAGTTTTTTCATACATTAATTAACTAAATCTTTAACTTAAAACTATCGCTTTTAGCCTCAAAAAAACAAATCTAATTAAAAGTCCTATTACTTACTTACTGAGAGAAATGGCTGATAACTAAATAGTTAACCACAAAATTTTTTAGCAGATAATGTGTTTTTTATATGTATTTTTTGTACAATTTTTTTCCTTTTAAATTAATCACTAACTGATTAAAATTAATTATATAAAGTACACGTACTAGCCGTGTGTTAAAAGGATTGACAACATATTAGCATAATATACATTATTAGTATATATATATATATATATATATATATATATATATATATATATATATATACTGTATATCTTTTATAATCAATTTAAATATTATGTTATCTATAGGATTTACAATAAATTGTCTTTAATTATATTGATCAATTAGTTTTAAAATTTTATTTTACAAAAATTATAATATAATTTCTTAACACATATTTCATAATTAATTTTATAAAAAAATATTTATATTTTCAATGTATGTGTTTGTGTGTGTGTGTGTGTGTGTGTGTTATAAATAGCTAAATAATTTGCTGTTTTTAAACACAAACAAAAAACATATCACAAAACCTGCAGAACATTATAATCCCATATAAAAAATTTAAAATAATAAAAAAATAATATAAAAAACAAAAAAATTTACTGTATTTTTAAATATAATAGGAATTTGATAACATTAAACTGCTATTTAAAAATTTGTGCCGAAAATGCACTTAAAAACAGTGTTAATAATACTAACAAATAAAAAACAACAACAAAATCAATCGTTATATCAATTCGTCAGATAAAATATTTTGTTAATTGAACCGATATTATGTTTTTTCTAAATATAATATATGTTATACTGTATATACTGTATAGATATATATATATATATATATAAGTATTATAAATGAATTAAATAAAACTTAAATATAAAATATAAAAAACTTAAAAATAAATAAAAGCAATATAATATCACAACCATTATATTATTTCAATGATCTCTGTCTCACACATTAACTAATTAATATAAATGTGATCTCAATTTTATCAAAGTTTTTCTTTATTATAAATTTAATTTCGATATTTTCAAATATATATATAAAAAACATTTTGTCTTTTTTTTTATTTTACATTTGTTGTCACTATTATTTAACTATTTTTTTAAATCGTAAATTTTCACTTCACATAAAATGTGAAAACCCTAATATAAACAACAACAAAATTGTTATATATATATATATATATTTAAAAATCTAAAACTAATGTATTTGTTTTAAACACACACATAATAATCTTATAATTATTAGAGTGAATAAAAAGTATACAGAAAAAAGTCTAAACACATATTTTTGTGGTATAATTTATAGTCAATTAAAAGTAAACCGTCTATAATATTCAAAACTACCTGTGCGTCCCAATAAATATTTGTGGCTTAAAACTAATAGACAACTTTCATATATTTTTGTTGTTATTATTATTATTATTAAGTGAATTGCATTTACCTTTTATTTTTGACTAAATAACTAAATAGTAATAATAATAACAAAATAAGTAACAAATGACTAACAATTTTATATACAATATACTGTATATATATATATTGACCACAAATATGTCTTAATTGATATTAAATTGATTTGTCATATATTTTGTTGTTTTGCTTCTTCTTTTATATTCAATTCATACTTTTATTATATAACAATACAAAACAATACAATAACCTAAGTATTTATGTAACAAAAAGTAAAAATTGATAATTTCATTGAAAACTACTTTCAATGATTTATTGTAATATTTTAACTAAAATTTTCAAAAGGCAAAGACACTGAAAAAAATCGTTTCAATAGAAAATCAAAAATATTAATAAAAAATTTTTTTCTCATATATTCATTGAATTCGTGAATCAATTGACAAATTGATTTCAATTTGAATTTAATAATGGATTTGATTTTCAATGAAATTTATTTCTTTTTTTTCGTATTATTTGCTTATAATTTTAAGTTAGTTGGGCTATCGTATCATATCATTTAGATATCATAAAAAGCGGCATTTTATTATATGTACACAATATTTTTATTTTAATATAAACAATTATTTTTTATGATACCTTATTTCTATGTAAAAACAATTATTATGTGATTACTCTTTTTATATGGACTATAATCATATGTTTACTTTGCATTAAAAACTTTTTTCTCTCTCATATATATCCAATTGAAATATATGAGTGAAAATTCAATGGAAATTAATTGCAAAAAAATTTCATAATAAAAGTTTTTGTCATTAAATTGAGAGTTCAAAGCTTTTTTGAATTTTTAATTTTTTTATGAATTTAATTAAACAATATTATCAAAACATTTGGCTGTATACACATTGTAGATACTGTACAGTACTAAAGGGTTATTATATGCAACAGTTTTATAGTTTTATTCAATATTAAACATTATATTCATTCAATATTTTGATTTCATTTGTATGTATGAAACGGGAATATAATAATAATAATAATATAATAGCTGTCATTCATTACGTAATGAGTTTAGTTTTGTTTGTAATTTACAAAAAACACAATTAAGTGTGCCTTTACTTATTATTATTATTATTTTTTTCATTATCTACTCTATAATATATAAATCACTTTTGATTGCCATTAAATTAATGTATCACTTGTTAAATATGACATTGATGTCTATTAAAAAATTTGGTGTGATTTTTAAAAAAGATTTATCCACAAAATAAAATATATAATAACAAAAATATAATGAATTTCATGTGATAATAATGATATATTACTATATTATTATAAAATCTTTTTTGTACTGAATTATTGAATGAAATAAATATAAAATAATTTTAACCTCTAATGTTGAAAATTTTATTTTATTTAATACATTGTTTATATACAGTATATTATACTGTAGTATAGCGTTTGGTCATTTATATGTGTAACAGTAGTTCATTATTAACAAAAAACGGGGGAAAAATAATGATACAATTATATATATATTATATATTATGAAAACTATAACATAATAAAAAAATATTATTGAATGACTACAACCACACGAAACTCTTACATAATAATTATAATAGAAAATTATCATTTTGATAGATAAAGTATATATATACTGTATTTTAAGTTTTTTAAAAAAAAACTTTTAATACTATTTGAGGGATATAATTTTCACTATATTTTTTCGCTATATTTAATATGTTTTAAGTGCGAGTGGAGAGAATGAATGAAAGAAAGAAAGAAAGAAAGAAAGARAGAGAGAGAGAGAGAGAGAGAGAGAGAGAGAAAAGAAAATATAGAAAAGTCGGTCAATAGTTTTTTTGGTAAATCTAGATATGATGGACAGGGAGTTTGTGTGATGTGTGTGTGTGTGTGTGTGTGTGTGTGTGTGTGTGAGAGAGAGAGAGAGAGAGAGAGAGAGAGAGAGAGAGAGAGAGGATACATGAATCTTAAGATACATAAAAATTACAATAAAAACAGATTTAATTTCAAAAGCTATGTTTAATTTGACTTTAGTTATCATTAACAATAATCTCGTCCATAGAAATTCACATTAAAAAATTTAGTTTAATCTCATAAACATTATAAATATTTTCATTTTAAATTGTAATAATTTTTTGTAAAGTAACAAAAATCTCTTTTAAATCTAAAATTTTATTTAATTTTTTTTCTTATCATTAGTTTAGACACAAAATTTTTTGTGTAATTTTCAAAAAAAAATTAGAACAAAAACTGAATTAAATTTGATTAAATAAACAGTAATTCATATGTTTTTTTATATCATATGTATATTATATGTGTGTTTAAAATAAAATTTATTAATAACTTGATTTTTTATAAGAAAAAAAATAATTTTTTAATATAAATACTGTATATTATTATATCAATAATGTTTATCTTTAATCATAAGATATTTTAGGTATAACTTCATACTAAATATATCAATAACAAATGTATAAATATAAATGTATTTTTATTTTATTTAATCAGTGAATATTAAGTATTTTATTATTAATATAATAATTCTAATAATATTTTAATAAATTTACATTTGGATAATAAATTATTCAATAAAATAAAATATATATTGCTATTAATATATATACAGTATTTATAAATAATAGCATATAATTATAACAACTCCTTTACGATAAAAAATATAAAAATAAATGTAATTTATTATTGAAGATATTATAATCGGTACTAAATATGATTTAAATATGAATATAAATCAACTGTATTTACCAATATATCTTTTGTAACTTAAATATCAAATTATATAAATAATACACATCAATATCATTGACAAATTTATTTATAACATAATATGTTTTATTAAAAAAAAACTATTCACAATAAAAAATAATGAAACAAAAGTATACTGATTTTCAAGTGATAATAATAATGATATATTATAATATTATTTAAAAAACAATTTAATAAAAAAGTGTTTAATATGATAAATCTGATTTAAATGCACAGTTATATTACCGGTATATATATATATATATTATTTTTACTCAATTGATTTATATAAAGTATAAAAATAGTAAAAGCGCTTCTAATAATAATAAAAAAAAGTAAAAGTAGTTATATTTTTAAAACATAATAATATTCATGAAAATAAATAATAATTAATCCACATCTATTTATAAATAAATTTATGAATCAAATTAAAAAATAAATAAAAATGAGCTATCATTTTATGTATAAATTATTTTTAAAAATATTAATAATTAAAAAATTATTAAATTTTGTTTATCGGACGCAAACCTTAAACAGTTTATCTTTATTGAACCAAATGTCGTCCTCTTCTTCATATGGATTGTAATTGTAGTCATCATTGATATCGAGTGCATCCCTATTACGGGATAATATTCTTCGACGACTTATCATCTCTGATGATATGATTGATTGATTGATGTCGAAGAAGAAGAAGAAGACAATCAATATTTCAAACACAACTACAACAACAACAGTCATATTAATTAGAGAAACAAATAAAGCAAAAAAAACTATTATTTAGTAAAAGTAATAATAATAACTAAAAGTAAGAAAATATCTGTGAAATCGTGTAATAAATGTATTGTTTGTTGTTTTTGTTTTTTTTATTTTAAGCAATTTTTTTGTTTAAATGCATAAACAGTGCTAAAATCACTATTCAATTGTTTCATTTAAAAATCATAGATAATTAATAATAATTGTAATATTATATATATTTAATAATAAAAATGTGTGAAATAGTTTTTATTAACTTAATTATAAAATTTCTAATCTTTTTTAATTATCAATATTTTATTAGAATAAGTAAAATCCTTAAACTATATTAAACTAAATTATATAAGTTTAAGCAATTAAAAAGTGAAAATATTAATAAATAAAAATGTAAAAAAAACTTACCAAAGACTAAATTATTTGTTAAGATTTAAATGGATAAAAATGTTTATCCAATTAATTAAAAAAAATCAAACAGTTTTTTAAGCAAATTAATCAAAAAGTATTTGTCCGCAAATAGATTGTCACAAACTTTTCAAAAACTTCACAAAAAAAAATATTTTATTCAAACATTTGTCCAAATAATATATTAGTCAATAAAACAATTATTGTTTATAATTTAATGTTTGTTTGTTTGTTTGTATATCATATATGTATCACTTATATGTTAATCACTGGTTAATCAATTTAATATTATTATTATTATTATTAAGCAAATCATAACATCATAACACTGATGATACCGGTGTTTAGTTAAGACATACAGACATATAGACACCAAATAGTTAACTGTTTTTTCTGTGCATTTAATTCAAAGCGAGAGAGAGAGAGAGTTCATACACTGCTCTCTCTCATCGTTGATAGTAATGATACAAATGAGTCGATAGCAGCAGTGGTTGAGTCAAAGCACTGGTAGTTTACAACTTGTAGTCTACAAACTGCAGACTACTTGCTATACGAGTTAAATGACGTCACAGTTGTAAACATTGCTTTAATAATAATAAAATAAAATTTTAAATATACAGGTAATGATAAAATATTTGCTGACAAAAAGTGCAAAATATACAGTAAATCATATATTATTTAAAATTATATAAAGTAATTATAAATAATAATTTTAAGTATAAAAATATTTATTATATTTTTGTTTAGAAACAGTTTAAAAAATATATAATTGAAAATTACTTCTAAAAATAATTTAATTAATTTAAATTTTTAACATATTAGTTGTTTTAAAAAATAAATTCAATGTTTTTTATTGCACTAACATACTCAACATTTAATCACAAATGTAAAAATTAACAGACAGATCTAAAAAATATTAATAATTATTATATACTAAAATTTTATAATTAATAATTATTCACTTATTTATCTATTTATTTAAAATCTTTAAAGAAATCAAAATTTTAATCAATAAAAGATACGTTTAAATAATAAACAAAATATTCCATTTTTTACTTATTTTAATATAATGCAATTTTTTCAAACTATATGATTATAAATTAGTTATAAAATAAAGTATTTATACCTATTATTTAATAAATTATATTTATTACATATGTTGTTTAGATATATAATATATATCATAATAATTACCTTATTTTAAATAATTAAAATGTATGATAAATTTATTGACTCCCTGTATATTTTATTTTAGTAAAACAAAATTTTTCAAAATTGTTACATCATTTTATTACTTTACTCCCGTCTACTTCACATTCCCTCAACAAAAAAAAACTTGACTCAAACTAAACACCCGTCCCGTTACGTCACTGTCCTATCTCTCGGTGCTCTCAATTAGGTTAGCAGTGATTTGTGTGTAGAGAAAGAGTGTAAATGAAAATATTCAATAGTTTATAAGTTATATAATATATAAATACTTTGAAAAAAAAGTTTTACTTACAATTGATATCACTTTTTACCCGAAAACACGAAAAACTTAAATAATTTAGTGATTTTGGATTTATTTGATTATAAAGAATATAATTATAATTATTATAATAATTAAGGATTAAGTGATATATTAAATAATCTAATAATTAGTTATAAATGAAATAATTTTTATTTTAATTATGTGTTATGCTATGAAAAATATTTTTAAAAATACATGAAATAGATATACAGTATTATATATAAATTAAAACTAGTATTATTTATTGTGTTTGATATGTTTATTATAACATTTAATTTTTTGATTAATTAATGTTTAGTTATTTAAATATTAGTTATTAAGTAGTTAATTAAACGTAACATAATTTATTGTATATATTAAAATTAATTAAAAAGTTTAGAATTTAATTTTAGTATTTAGTATTTTTATTTAATATACTTTTTAGTATTTAAGTATTTAATTTTTAAAATGTAAGTTAAATTTTAATTCAACAAATATTTATGTTATCATAAATTAAATTAATAGTGAAATAAACATAAAAAAATAAAATAATTATTTTATTATCAGGTATTGAATATAATACTTTAGTTTAATTTAAAGTAAAAGCTATAATGAAATAATTAATAAATTTGTTTAATTAAAAGTCGAACATAATATAAGATTAATAAATTTTAAAATTATATAAATTATATATATATTAACAAAATATTTATATTATTATCAATCTTTTACAAATTTTTAAATTGAGCGCAAATATTTTACATTGATAATTTTTGTCAATGACTATTTAAACTAGATAAAACTAGATGGTGCTAGGTTATATTATTTTATATTTTATTATTATTACAATATTTATTAGTTTATTAAACTTCTAGTAAAGACATCTATGAATAATATAAATCATATATTTTTTTGTATAGTTTTGAAACATAAATATATTTATTATTATTTACAAAAAAATAAATAAATAATTTTACTATTGATTCAAATAAATCATATTTTTTTATTGTTTGTATAGACTATTGATATCTAAATTAGTTGTTGCGGTCACTCATCGGTTGTTTGTTTGGTTACCCGTACTGACCAAAAACCATGTGGTGGTTGCGATGGCATACCCGACGATTTTTCCGATCCATAATGAATCCATTGGATCCCGAAATGGCCGTCCGATGGGAAAGAAATTTACGATATTTTTATGTATTTTTAGGTTTTAATGTCATGTTATTGAGTGTCAATTACTTCAGAAAACGCAGACAAGAGTTACAAGAGGCCGGTCTTCTGGTCGAAGATATAACACCCGCACATCGTAAGGCCCGACACATGAATATGTCCAACAATATGACTATTGTTAGGGTCGGACTCAATGGCCGCCAATCAGAAGTCTATGAGTTTCATCCCGAAGAGTATCGCAAAGAGATGGCCGACAAAGAGGCTGTCGCTAGGATTGAGATCGAAAAGTTGGATCAAAAGAAAAAACAATTAAAGAAATCGTTGAACAATACTGACCAACAATTGGTCAGTTAGTGTCTGTGTGTGTCCACCGATCGGCTGACTATTTTAACGTAGTTTTCATATTTTTGACAATCAATTGATTATTATTATTAGTATATGATATCATATATTGTATTAAAATTTTTATTGAAAACCATTAGATAATTATGATATGATATATGATTTTTGTTGTAAATAATGTATTTAAAAAATTTATAATAGTTTATTAATAAACTTTATCTAATAGTTATTAATTATTATAACTAATAAATAATTTAGTAATTATTTTAATTGTTTTTTTTTAATTTTATTAAGTAATAATTTAGACAATTGTGTAGACTTTAAATATTTGTATTCATTAATATTTATTAATATTTAATTGATTATAATTTAAAACAGTATACAATTTATATTAAAAAAAATTATTACCGATAATTATATATATTATTTATTATCTTTTTTTGCCAGACTTAACAATTGAGAAAAATATGGAAATACAGTATAGATATTACGATTAATTAAATTTTTATAGATTTCCTATGAAATATAACATATAATATGCCGGTAATATTTCCGCTATAATATAATATAAATTATTATATCAGAAATATTTCAATGCCATTTACCAAAAAATTTATTTTTATATTTATTTTTTTTAGTGTCGATGAGTAAATTATTTATTTAGTATCATAATATCAATCATAAATGTGTTGTTTAACTGATAACAGAAACAATAGCAAAAAAATAAAATGTTATAGTTTAACAAAACTTATTTGTTATTTTTGTTAAATTATTTATATTTATTTATGCTATTAAAAAATAATTGACTGAATAATTGAAAATAATTATTTTTAATTTTTATTAAATTATGAATTTGTTAGATCGGGTTAAGTCTGTCATCAAAATATGCCGACTATCGCTACTTATGCTTAACTCAGTGGCCATTGTGTTTGCCCTGTATTTTATGATATCCCACAAGAATCTGGTCAATAAAAATCTGGTTATGGCTCGTGAAGTACTCATTGGTTACGGTGTGATCACAATAATCGTAGCATTGCTAGGCATAGGTGTGGCCGTATATGGAGGCAAACACAAAAAGAGACGTCACTATCGGTTAGCTTTTTTGTTTGCAATACTGGCAACCCTTTTGATGGTCAGTGCGATCATTGTGTCGGCGATCTATGTCCGCAATATGACCGCCGGTGACATTGTCTTTACTGTTTTACTTGTTTTGTTTGAACTAATATTACTACCCATTGCTTTTGGATATCCATTAGTTTTGAAAAAAGTGCGAACTCTTAAGAGACTTAATTTAATTTAATATTTTATGATATAATTATAATTTGTTTACTATACATAACAATTTATTATTTTTTTGTAATTATATTTATTTAATAATTTTAATATGAATATTTTTAACTATTTTTACTATTTTTAAAAAACAATGAATAATTTCTGTGTATAAAATTATATATATATATATAATAAATAAAATGTTTAATAAAAAAAATGTTTCTTATTAAAAAAAATCATATGATTTTTACAACAAAAGTAGAATAATTATTCAAATTTTATTAGTTTTTAAATAATTTTATATAATATTACCATTACGATAGATCCCAAAATATAATGGTCCCAAATAAAACTCATACATAGTTTGATAGTAAAGATAAAAATCGGTGTTTAAAAAAGCCTTTTCTCCGGTCACTACAGTATAGTTTTGACCACCCATTCGGGTTAGGATATAGTCGGCAATTACTGCATAACAATTGTTATCAGTCGTACGCCACATATCCTCTTCGGGTAATGTCAAACATTTTTGACCGACAAAATTGTTTGTCACACTTCGGAACCAATTGACTATATTTGTGATATTTCGATGAATAGTGCCCAGGTCAATGTTGTTATATATACCAAGTTCATATGTCGATGACCTGGCCAATTGAATGCGCTGATATATATGTCGACCCTAATATATTTAGATAGTTTTGGTTTGTTGTATAAAATTTATATTTTTATATGCAATAATTTCTACAAAAATTTAAATACTTATTATATTAAATATTATAGGATATTTACCGCTGGACTCAATTGTACACTACCCTGGTCATTGTTGATAATATTGACCATATTTGCCAATTGTTGACAACTTGCGGTCGCATTAATGTTTTGTTGTTGTAGTAGTTGTTGTTGGGTTTCATTTAACATTAAAATTAATATGAATTGAGTGATACTTAAAATTACTTTGAATGTCATCGTTAAAAATAATTTATATTTTTATTATGTTTAAAATTTTTATACTGTATATGTTATTAGTTATTAATTTGAGTTTATTTATAAGTTAATTTTGTATGCTAGATAATTGTTTAATTAGGATATCATATGAATAATTATTAATTATTTGTCAAAAATAAAACTATTTTATTTGCTCAGAATATATTAATAACAAAATAATTAAACAATTAATAGGTAACAATAATAACTTATTATAACAACCTAATAATTTTTTTAGCCTAATTATACTTATTTTTTCAATATTAACTACTATTAAAAATTATGCTAAATTTAAAATTACAGTATTAGTAATATATTTGAAATTATTTATAATAGTATTTTTTATTTATTAACTTTGATATAGTGTAAAATTATTTGTATCTGTATAAAAAAAATAAAAATATTACAATTTGAACAATATGTTAGAATGTACATAATATACTGTAGTTTAGGCTAATTAAATAAACTATTATTATATGATAAACTATAATATTATTTTCGTATAATTTGAAATATTATGTTTAATTTTTAATGAGATATTATTTTTTTTCAATAATAAAGTACATCATAGTGTCCATCCAATGACAATCGTAGGACAGTTCGCTGACAAACTAATGGCAAATTAATGGTTTGTTTGAGAGGACGTCTAATGTCTGATTTAAATGTCTGTTCATAATGTTTAGCAAATATTTCAATTATAATGACTGCAATGCAGGCAATATAACCACTGATAAGCAATATAAAGCAAATGACTGAATCTTTGACTTTAATGATAACATTTCGACTTTTAGTTTTGTATTTATAATCCGTCCAATTATTCTGTGATTTTCGGACTGAATTCATAAATCTATTAAAATTTGTGTCTTCGCTGACCTTTCTAGTAATGACACCCGTATGCATCAAATTGTAAAATCTATGCAATTAATTAAATTATATAATTAATAATATATTAGTTTCTAATTATTATAAGTCTTACAATTTGTTTAATTGTTTTTTGATATCTTTATCGAGTTTGCGTCTCATCGGAAAGTTTTGAATTTGTTGATACATATTGTTGGCCGACATATGCCACTGATAGCCACTGTGTTGTCTCATAACCATCTCTACAGACATTTCACTGGCTATGAGTACGTGTGTATGTTTGACCAGTTTATGGACAATTGGTGGACTAAACATATCATCGTGTGTTATAAAATCCAATCGATCCACTAATGATGGGAACTGCTAATAAAAAATATCTAATATTAGTAAAAATTAACTGAAATATATATAATATATAATTAAATACTATTTCAATGATCCGATGAGCATTTGAAAACTTTTTAATAATAGGTATGACATTTAATGTATCGACCAATTGATCGAAAGAGTCGATATAAATGGTCTGTTTGGCTGTTATCGATGCCTGTATATCACTGGTGAACAGTAGTCTCAAAAAATATGTCGATACCAACCAAATAGTAATGGTCACATTTATATGTTTATCAAAAAATATATAACATTTCGACATAAAGATTTTATTATCAACACTTTGGCCCAATAGTAGACCAAAATAGTCAATAAATAATTGAAAACCATTGATAATATGTGTGTTAGTTATGCTAATATTAATAACAATTATCATTATAAATAAAATGATTAGCAATGTCCAGATATCATAGGAAAATATGTAAAATATGTTAAAAATATGCTCTTTATTATAGGTGGGAACACTTAAAATGCTTATCTGTTTTGTAGTCATAAAAAACTCTCCAAACTCTATGGGACTTTTTATTGAGTTGCGATAATTAAACATTTTTAATATAACATCAGTTGACTTAATTTTTATTGAAATTAAAAAAAATAATTATTAGATTAATTAATAACAAAAATAATAATAATAAAATTATAATTACTTGGTTAGCTAGTAAACCTAATATGCCATCCCATTTACCATTTTTATTTTCACTACCACCCCAAGTTTCATTAGTAGTCCTATATGATATGCTTATAGTTTATATAATTTGAATAATTAATATTTATAATTACTATTAAAAAAAATCATATTTAAAAATACTACTTACTTAGCTTTCAACATTATAGATATTAATTCAATCAAAAAATTTGTTGGACTACACACGTATTCAATGTCATTAAAATTATATACCTATTAATTAGATGATAGTTATAGTAAATTATTAAAATAAATATTTAAAAATTTTATATTTAAGTTTAACAAACCTCTGTTGAAAAATATGCGACCACTATATGTCTCTCAACATTTTGAACATATGATCTGTTTTGAAATTGTTTCCATTGAAGACAATATTTTTCACTTTTAAGATTTTGTTCAAAACTCATAATAATAATAATAATATAAAAACAATTTATTCAATAACAATATTTCACAGTTAATAAAGACATAGTATCTATTTTTTAAAAAGTAAATTATTTACACTTATATTGATCATTGTTCACATTATAATAATATTGAAATCATTATTTAGTTATCATTCAATATTACAGTAATTATGCTTATAATAAGATAATAATTTTAAAAAAAAGATTTTAAATTTAATAAAGTTAGTCTCTACTAAATTATATATAATTTAATTTATTTTATAAATGTATTTATAAATAATATGTAAAATATAAGTATTAATGCAACATTGTAGACAATATTTTTAATATTGATTAAAATAGTTGCAACTATCAATAAAATTAACAACATTATAATTATAATATTAATAACAGAAAAATATATTTTTTGAATTCATTATAAGTTCATTTGATATGCTTTTGATTTGCAAATAAAAGAGAATATATAAAAATTATGTTTTTATTAATAGTAGGTTTATTGGATATTCAATAATTTAATTATTACTTAACATATTTAGAAATATATTTTTGTATTTATTGATTGTACTTATGATATATCCATTACATTAATAGTATTATATGAAATATTATTGTAAAATATACTGTTTATAACAGTACATTACAACTTATTGCAACTTACAACTTAACTATATATTAAAAAATAATAATACAGTTCTTACAATATTATGTGTCAATTTGTTGGATGAAAAATATTTTTTAAATTTGTTTTATAATAAGATAATAATGCTTACTATTGTTTAATTTGTGTACTGCATATACAGTACACTAGTTTATTTAAAATTATTGTAATGTGTATATAAATTTATTTTTTTGTTGTTAAACAATTGCTTGATAATTATATTGTTTAAATAGGAGTATCATTTGAGATATTGTAAAAATAACTTTACACTATATTTTGCAAATAATTATATATATTTATTATTTATTTGATATAATACAAATTGAATTTTATATTATAAACAATTCCATAAGTTATATTTACTATAGTATTTTATAACAAAATTTAAAAAAAAAAGTTTAAAATATTTTAAAAATTATTAAGTAAATTGAACTTTTTTAATATTAAACATTAAAGTAAATAATTATATTATAACTTACTTTATAATAATAATTATTATTATTTATGATTTTTATTATATTTATTATTCATTTTGAACATCTTTTTTCTTAATTTTGCAAAACGTTTAGCTTTATAGACACAAAAGGCAAAACTCCACGAAATGCAAAACAATAGGAGAGACCCAATTGTGGCCAACACTATGAACACTATGTCGGCAGTGGTCAAGTTGGACACGAGGACACTGACACAAATGGCACCGCATATCACCAACGATACACATATGGCATAGACTATGGCTATGTTGATGTGCTCCTTGAGTTTGCCCCACCAAAAGGCATTTACTATACCAAACACCGACACTGCTATTAATACGGTTGCAATAAATATGATAAGCGCTTGATTAGTATCCAAACGCTGACCAAACAGATCTCGACCGGTGACCGCAAAATACACAGAAAACAGTATAACTAGTATATTGACTATGGATAGGGAGGCGCGCAGCGCTTTGATGGCTAGATATAGATAAGCGTAATCCATGTTTGCCTCCATAGCGGGATCGGTAGCGAATGGCACGTCTCCCGGGTATATCATTATCTATACATACAGTACATGTATGTTATGTAATGTTGTTATATTATTATTTCACGTGTGATGGCATAGAGATGTTAGTAACCCCACGATTATATGTTGACAATAATCAGTCAAAATGACAATTATTTAAGCAGTGAGTGGACGCATGAAAAAACTATAGATCACATCAAAATGTAGTCATATTATTATAATATTATATAAAATACTTGCATATTATCTACTAATAAAAACGGCTATACATATCGTAGAGTATCAAATTTCAATGTTATTGTTTATATGAATTATTTATTCTGTAATAAAAAATACTATTTTTTAGTACTAAACATCAATGTTAGCAAAACAATAATATCTATAAATCTATATTAAATACAATATTTGTATTTTGCATATAAAGTATCATTGCAATTATCGTGACATTAAAAAAATATAACTATAAAATAGACCAAGATCTTATAAAATAATTTATAATTTAGTTGCTCAAACTCAATGTTTTACTCAATACAAGTGCAATGAATTATTAATAATTTCTATTCAATAAAAAAAAATATTTTTTTATAATTCAAAATTCATAGAAATAATAAAATTTGTTTATGATTATTCATAATTTTTAATCATTACTATTGCATTTCATTTTAATTTACTAACATTGTGTGTGTGTGTGTGTGTGTGTGTGTGTGTGTGTGTGTGTGTGTGTGTGTGTGTGTGTGTGTGTGTGTGTGTGTGTGTGTGTGTGTGTGTGTGTGTGTGTGTGTGTGTGTGTGTGTGTGTGTGTAGTTATAACTATAAAAAATCAATACATATAGTATGCATAATCAGTATATTCATACACATTGACTATCAACTACTAATAATAGTATGAATTTAGATTATAAATATTATATTATAGTTATGGTAGTAAACATAATAAAATATTATTTTTATTATTATGAAGTTTTTATTATTACAAGTAAGTCAAACAATACTAATAATTATTAATAATATCATATAATATCCAAATCACGCAAATAAGGCATTAATTCATTTTTTATATGAGTCTAACATTTAATAAAAATATATAAAAATACAGTAAAATATTAAAACAATAATACATTTAAGTTAAATATTAATTTATTTTTAAACATTTCATTTGTTTTTAAAATATTATATTTAGTTAAAATAAACTAGTAAATTATTAATATGTTTTCTAAGCGTTTAATATTAATATTATACATAAAACTTATTTTTTATATACTCTAAATAATTAATTTCAATGTAATTTAGTTCAAGTAAACTTGATTAAATTGCGAAAATATTATTTAGTGATAATACTAATTGTAAAGTAGATTACGAGTTAATATGCACTTATCATGCAAATTAGAACTGGCACATTTTACGATAGTGAATAAAAGTGAAAAATATATTAATTAATTTTTTTTAAATTACAGAAAATAATATAATTTTAATAAAAATAGTCTAAAAATAAAGTTTAAGAAATTAGTCTTGATTAAATATTAAAAATTTATCATTATTAATAATAATGATAATATTAAATGAAACATTTAAATAAATAATATAAAATATATTTAATAATTTAAATATTAAAAATAAATGTAATATTCCTAATGATCTAAATATAAGGTTTGCGAAAAAATTATCAGTTGTATAATACAGTGTATAAAGTAATTGGGAGAGTAGTGCTGTATTTGGGGGATAGTATTAGGTTAGACAGGTAATCGACTCATTAGTTTTTATTAAATATCTGATAAACCATATATTCAATTAAAAAATTGACCATGGGCATATTTATAGATGATATTAAACTCAACATAATTGTAATTGGTCATTTTTAATTAATTGTAAAATTAACTAGATAATAGCATCAACATAGAATAGTTGTCTAGTGAAACTATTATCTAGTTAATTATACAATTAATCATCAAAAAAATGATCAATTACAATAATGTTGAGTTTAATATTATCCATAAATATGCCCATGGTCATTTTTTAAATTGAATGTATGGTTTATCATATATTTAATATAAACTAATGAGTTGAGTACCTGTCTAACCGACTACTATCCCAAATGGCAACAATACTCTCCCAATTACTTTATACGCTGGTTGTACTTAAAAAAATAATTGTTCAATAAATACTAAACTGATAAATATATTCAAAAATATTATATAATTTTAAGTACTTTATTTTTATTGAATTTATGATTAGTCCAATTAATTTTTAATCAATAATTTCAGGATTTTGAATTAAATTTTGTAAACACTATAAAAACACATTTTAAGTTATAAATTAAATCTAATTAATATAATTATTGAAATCTTAAAATAAAAGTTTCTATAATTTATATCATATAATAAACAAAATGCAAATTTTAGCTATTTTAACATTTGTTTTGACATTTTATTGTCTCAATGCTTGTAAGTTAAAAATTATTGTTTAAAAATCATTTAAAAGCATATTATATTAATAATCTCTTAAATCTCTAAAAAAAATTTCATTTATCAGATCAAACATTGCGATTGAACACCGGCTATGAAATGCCGATTCTCGGTTTGGGCACATTTCGGGCCACTGGAGACAGCTGTTATAAATCTGTGATTGAGGCACTCAAAGTTGGTTTCCGACACATCGACACGGCCTCAGATTATAACAATGAGGAACAGGTGGGCCGCGCATTGGCCGACGCCATAAATTCCGGAATAGTCAAACGTGAGGACGTGTTTGTCACAACAAAAGTATGGCCACAGAAAGCCGATGCTCGCAAAAAAGCATTGGACAGCATTCACGAGTCAATGAAAAAGATGAACCTGACGTACATTGATCTGGTTTTGGTACACTTCCCATGGGATCAGTACGTCGAATCTTATAGGGGCTGCGAGGATGCCTTCCACCAGAAGTTGGTCCGATCGATAGGTGTGTCCAACTTTAATGAGCAAAATTTAGACATTTTGCTTAAGGAGGCGACTGTCCGGCCGGCAAACAATCAGGTACTGTTGAATCCCAAAGCTGTCGGAACCGGTATTATTGATTATTGCAAGAAAGCCGATATAACTGTTACGGCATATTCACCGCTTGGCACCGGTAGTCTAGTAAAAGATGCAAAACTGGTTGGTATCGGTCAGAAACATAACAAAAGTGCTGCACAAGTGATGATCCGATGGGAAATCCAAAGAGGCGTTTGTGTTATACCTAAGGCAACGGATCCCAAATATATTAAAGAAGACTTCGAGGTCTTTGATTTTACACTCACTGACAATGAGATGAAACAAATACCGTTTTAATTGTTTGTTTCATTAATATTATATAATTTGTTTTACTTTTAAATTGTTTTTTTATTAAAATTAATAAACAATTATTTTTTAAAAATAATTTCCATACTTACATACATACAGTACTAACTGATTAAATTATTTAAATGATAAATTTTATTGATTTTATAAACAAAACTACATAGACGAATTATTAAACTTAAAAAAAACTTTAAATAATAATTTAGTTAATTTATTCAATATTAAAATTTTGTTGATATTTTCAACTATATATATATATTTAAATTATTTAATTATAATAATTTAATTCTATAATTTATTTTTGTTAATATTATAATTAAAAATTAACTAGAATAAATTTTAAAATTTTTAATTTAATATTCTCAATGTTTTTAACATTGTATTGTAGTATTATCGTTTAAGTTAGCGGGTGGTTAACAATTTAAATACAATCAACATATTTTTAAAAACATTTAAAAAGTTTTTTTTGTTTAACAAATTTAAGCTATCGTTTCAATAGAGTTATTGTTTTGAATATACAGTTAAATATAATAAATAATGTTAACAGAAAAAAGTTACCGAAATCTATGGATCAACTCATCATTTCGTGACACTCTTCTTGTATTGTTGTCGATGCTATTTATTATGCACTCATATGTTATACTATATCTAATATTACAACTAATATCGTCGCTGTACTCGCAATACGTGAGATCAACTAAAGTGATAAACGAGTGGTACAACAGTTATCTTAGAGAAACAGATATTGACAGTGAAAATGAGATAAAAGTCATAAAAAGTGATACATTTAATATCATAACCGATATTATTATAGAGTATGTAATGTATTTTAAATAAATGAAAAATAAATATATTTATTTTTTTAAATTTTTTATGACCAGATTTTTAAAACTTTTAGTAGTAGTAATCGGTATCTTCAGTATCATTGATGTGGTCGAAGGTTTTATCGGTGTTGTCGTGTTTTGTGTGTTTCAATCGATAGCAGTTTTGACCGCTATATTGGATACACCTATTTGTTGGAATCGACAACAATTGGGAGATAATATATACACCATAATTGAAAACTATTCAAAAATTGTTATCATATTTTTCCAAACAATTGTTGCCATTTTGGCTATCATTGTGTTGGTAATTGATTTATATAATCTAAAAGATAGTCTCAATGCATAAATATTACCATAAAATAAATAAATAAAATATATTAATTATAACTATTATTATAACTACCTAATAATGATAGAAAAATAAGATAAGTTTTAATATGAATTGAACCACAAATAAATTTGTATTTAATAAAACATTTTAAACAATACAATACAACATATTATAATACTATTTATAATTTAAATTTTTTATAAATAAAATTTTTATGAAATTTAGTAATTTTTGTTACAATTTTAACTCAAATTAATTGAGTATCTGTCACTGACTGTTAATTATAAATTAACAACCGGTTTAATAAATTATTAGAGCTTTGAAATATTAGTAATTAAAATATTTTATGTAAATTTAAAAAATTTAAAAAGTCATTAATTAATTAATTACTGAATTATTAAATTAGGACTATTTTAATATATTAGAAGTCATAAAAGTAAAGTAAATATTTAGTTATTTGTAACTTTTATTAATCTATGATATAATATTAATATTAAAGATAATTTTTTGTTTTTTTAAAGTTAATTAGTAATAACACTATTAAAACTATTAAAGTTTTTAATAACTGATATTTATTTATCCAATATATGCCGAACTTTATTAGTTTGTGTCAAATAATAGGATCTAACAAAATACAGGCACAAAGTTATTGATAATATTTAAACTAATCAATTGATTTAGTGATATATACTATGAAACAATTGTTATGAACTAATGTTTAGGACATTTGATATTAAATATATTTATTTTCATTAAAAATGTTTTACATATTATCATCAATGATATACAGTATTATCTTAAGTACAGTAATTTTGCAATTTCGTACACTTATAGTAGCCAAGAGTGTGAATTATTTTTTAAATAGTAAATTATAATATGTTAATTTGGTTTTTATTTAAATATTTTAATAAATATATTTATATTTATTTTACCTAATTTAATTACTTAATTTATTTTATAATTAATTTATGACAACAAATAAACTATTTTATAATATTAATTTTCAAATTTATTATTATAACTAATTATTTTTGTGGATAAAAACTTGTTTTTTTCAATTGAATTAAGATAAACTTATAATTATCAATTGGATTATTATTATTATATGATAGCAATTTTGTAGAAATTAAATATTTTAGTATTTATAGAAAGAAAATAAAAAAAATATATAATTAATTAATATTAATAACAATAAATTAACCAAATATGCAATACCTGTCTGTTTTAGTGTTGGCATTAGTAGCCTATAGTACATCGGCTTTAGGTATGTGTTAAAAATAATATAATATTTGAATTATTTAACTATTAATATAATTTTTAATTTAGCGCCGACTATCAAATTGAACACCGGTTATGATATGCCGGTCATAGGGTTGGGCACTTGGCAGGCAACTGGTCAAACAGCCCGACAAGCGGTCAAAGATGCCATCGCTATTGGCTATCGACACATAGACACGGCCTCACACTACGGCAATGAGCATGAAGTGGGTCAGGGATTGCACGACCAGATCAATGCCGGTCTTATCAAACGCGAAGACGTATTCATCACCACAAAAGTGTGGCCGCAGGGAACCGACCGAAGGAAAGCACTCGAATCGGTCAGACATTCAGTACAACAACTGAACGTATCGTACGTCGACTTAGTTTTGCTACATTTCCCCGAAAACGATTGGATCAATGTCTACAGGGGTATGGAAGATGCCTACCACCAGAAGCTCACCCGATCCATAGGTATCAGCAACTGTGGCAGAGGTCAGATCGACCAACTGTTAAGAGAGACTACAGTCAAGCCGGCCGTCAATCAGATCAGTATACAGCCGCGCAATAATCAAGACGACACTGTTAACCACTGCAATGAATTAGGTATTGTAGTAACAGGTTTCTCACCCCTGGGTACCGGTTCAATAGTCAAAGACCATACATTGGCCTCAATTGGTACAAAACATCAAAAATCTGCCGCACAGGTAGCTCTTCGCTGGCAAATTCAACGACATTTGATTACTATACCGAAGGCTACAAATCCTAAATATATTAAAGAAGATTTTGAAATCTTTGACTTTCAGTTGACCAACGATGAGATGAATACTATTCATAATTTGCATTAATTATTATTATTATCTATAGATAAATGTAATATATATTTATTAAAAAATAAATAAATATTTTTAAATAAATAGTAAAAATTACAAATATATCATAATTGTAATGTATGTTATTAAATGATAACTTAATTTTCTATACAAACACATTGTCATACAAATCAGTTTATAAGATAACTGTTTTGTGCCTAAAATATTTGCACTATTATTATATTATGATATTATACAGTACTTTACTTTTATATAGTGTATATGGTTTTATATGAAATAATTGATAGCAAATAAACTATATGATACTGGTATTTTTTATATAGTATATTATATTTGATAAATTGTTTTAATTAGTTCATATATTATCATTATCTATAAATATATTTATAGATAATTATAAAAAAGTAAATAAAAATTGCTTTTACTCTCTATGTGTTTTAAGTACATATTACTATAGAAATATTTATAGTAAAAAATATTGTATACATGTGTTGAATAGTTAAATATAAATTAGAGTTTAGGCTATCTTTACAATAAAATTAAAATATTTATACTTTATAATATTAAAATACAAATATACAAATTTTTAATTATTTTTGCATAAAATTTAATTGAAATATTACAAAAAAATAAATATGAATTTAATAAATTAAGCAATATTATATGATAATATGAATCAATAGATAATTTATTATAACATGTTTTTCAAACATTATAATAAAATGTGTGAGAGTTAGGGTTTAATAGATAGTAAAACGTGGAAATAGTTTCACTGGGAATTCACAAGAAACAAAAAATAAGGAATTTTTTAGAAATAAAATTTGCCACAAACTCTATAATCTAAATATATATATCTATATTAAGTTTGGTCAACAAGTAAGAGTCACATCACATAAATTTTATTAAAAATAAAAATTATTTTAACAATCTATTTGTTTTAAGTGCAAATATTGTATACATGTGTTGAATAATTAATTAATTATCAATAGATTACTAAAAATTAGGTAAACTTGTTGTCTAAGATATTGAATTGTCAAGGATTTATATGTTTTAAAATATTCTATATATACTTTATAAAAAAATAATATATATATATACAGTATATATAATGATATATTAATATATATTAATAGATAAATTAAAATTTGTAATATTATATTATAAAATTTTTATTATTTAACAAAACAATATAATAATGAATTTTTTAGGACTTTTGTCTTTAGTTTTAGTAGTCTATTGTACATCAGCTACAGGTTTGTATAAAAAAAAATATATTTATTTATTTACTTAACTATTTATATAATTATTACATTAATTATATTGTATTATTTAACAGTGCCATCAATAAAGTTGAACACTGGCTATCAGATGCCTCAGCTTGGTTTGGGCACCTGGCAAGCAAAAGGTGATCCCGTAAAACAAGCAGTAAAGGATGCACTGGAGATTGGTTACCGACACATCGATACGGCATTTATTTATGGCAACGAAAAAGAGGTCGGAGACGGCATTTGGGAACAGATTAACAAAGGACTTCTTAAACGAGAAGACTTGTTCATCACAACAAAGGTTTGGCCGGAAGGAAGCAATCGGGAGAAGGCATTGGCTTCGGTTAAAAACTCACTCAAGTTATTGAATGTTACGTATCTGGACTTAGTTTTAATTCATTGGCCCGTCGGTGACATCAATAGTATCTATCAGGGACTGGAAGATGCGTTCAATCAGAAATTGGTCCGATCGATAGGTATATCCAACTTTAATCAGACCAATATCGACAACTTGTTGAAGACGGCAAAAGTAGTTCCGGCAAACAATCAAATCAATATCCATCCGACACTCAATCAGGACGAGACTGTTGCCTATTGTAATAAATTAGGTATCGCTGTCACCGGTTACTCACCACTGGGTACCGGATCTATGATTAAGAACCCGATCCTAACATCAATCGGTGCCAAACATAACAAGACAGCGTCACAGGTGGCCATCAGATGGCAAATCGACAGAAATTTAATAACAATACCAAAGAGTGTAAACAAAAAATATATTAAAGAAGACTTTGAAGTGTTTGACTTTAAACTAACCGCAGATGAGATCAAAACTATTCATAATATGAAAGCTTAATATTTATTAACTATAGTAATAATAGTAGTTTTTTGAAATTTTAAAAATATAATTAAATAAATCTAATAAATTTATTGGATCTAAAATCTAAAAAATAATCAATAATAAATTTCTATAAAAATAATAAATTAAACAAATATTTTTTATCTTGCAAATTATTTTGTTTCGCTTGATTATTAGTAAATAAATATTATTGAAGCAATTAATTTGCTAAAAAAAATATTTTGAAAAATATATGTATTATTTTTATTTAATATAAATTACAGATAGTAACAAAAAATCATTTTCTAAATATAACTGTATAGTACTGTATTACGATAACATAAATATAATTAATTAAAAACAATTAATAAAAACAATTGAACTAATAATCTAATTGATTGATAAAATGTTTCTCTAAAAAAGCAAAGTCCTGTTATTTTTCGTATGAAAGTGTTTCACAAATAAAAGATTAATTGATATTTTTCTCGACTATAAATATCAATTGTAAAAGTTATTAAAAATTTGTTACATTGAATTGACTTTCAAATCAATTAACAAAAAATATAATAATAATTTTTTTAAAAACACACAATGAGAGTGTTAGGACTGTTGTCGTTGGCTATGGCCGTCTGTTGTATCTCAGCTAAAGGTTTGCTAAATATATATGATATATAAATTATAATTTTATTTATTTATTTACTTATTATTTAATTATAATTTTATATCAAATATGCTAACAGTGCCATCAATTAAGCTGTACACCGGCTATGAGATGCCCCAAATAGGTTTGGGCACCTGGCAAGCAAAAGGTGATTCCGTTAGACAAGCAGTTAAGGACGCACTGGAAATCGGTTACCGACACATCGATACGGCATTTATTTATGGCAACGAAAAAGAAGTTGGCGAAGGCATCCATCAACAGATCCAAAAAGGTGTACTCAAACGGGAAGACCTATTCATTACCACAAAGGTATGGCCCGACGGTTGCAATCGTCAGAAGGCGTTGGAAATGATCAAACACTCGCTGAAAGAGTTGAACGTTACTTATCTGGATCTGGTTTTAGTACACTTTCCTCACGATGACTACGCCAACACTTATCAAGGTCTGGAAGATGCTTACAACCAGAAACTGGTCCGATCGATAGGTATCTCCAACTTTATGAAGAGCCACATCGATCACGTGCTCAAGACAGCCAAAGTTAAGCCAGCAGTTAATCAAATCAATATCCATCCGACACTCAATCAGGACGAGACTGTTGCCTATTGTAATAAATTAGGTATCGCTGTCACCGGTTACTCACCACTGGGTACCGGATCTATGATTAAGGACCCGACCTTAACATCAATCGGTGCCAAACATCACAAGTCATCGGCACAGGTGGCCATCAGATGGCAAATCGAAAGAAATCTGATAACAATACCAAAGAGTGTCAACAAAAAGTATATTAAGGAAGACTTTGAAGTGTTTGACTTTAAACTAACTGCAGATGAGATCAAAACTATTAATAATATGAAAGCCTAATAATATGTTTGATATAATAATATGCTTTAAAAAATCAATTTAATTTCAATAACTAAATGTAAAACAATTTTGATTATTGATCTTTAAATAAATATTATAAAATACTCTAATTGTTTTTGTATTAATTTAATTAAAAAAAATATGTTTGCAAAATTTGAAATTTTAATAAATAAATTAAGCATAATACTGTTTATAAATTAGAGTTAATAATAATATAATAAACAAACTTCAAAATAGGAAAAATTATAAATACAATGTTAAAATAGTTGCTAATATAATTTTTAAATAATAAAAATAATATTATAACTTTTACTTAAAGTATAATTTATATGTAATCAAGTGTCAAGTTTTAAATTTAAAGTGATATATTATTAAATAATTTATATGCTATATCTTTAAATTGCAAAATAAGTAATTATTTTATTTTTTAATATTAAACTATTTGTTTTAGATAATCAATATAAAAATTATCTAAAATAATTTGACAGATTTATCGTAGAAAAACACATTTAAAAACAAAATTTTCCTTAAATTACTTTAAATAAATTACTTGCTATTTAAAAATAGCATAACTAATTAAAATTTTCAAGGTTAAATTTTAATATATCAACTTTACATTGTTTCAATATTTTAATTACGCGAATATTTTTTAATACCAACATTACATTACATTTTAATGTTTTTAATTTACTTAATGTATTAGTAATTTAATTAATGTATATAATATAATAATGTATATTTATACTGCATTTTAAGTTATTTTAAATACCTGTATTTAATCAACTCAAAAAATATTGAACAACCATTTTTATATCCTATCATAAAATAAAATAAATATTATATTTGTGAGTATATTTCATCAAATAAAAAATGTCCATAAAATATATATAAATATATCTAATATATTACCTTAACCTCTATGAGCAGTGTTTATGCAGTTTATAATTATTTGTTGATAATAACCGGATAGAGACGTGTTTGAAAAAATTAAAATCTTTACTATAAAACTAGTTTTTTAAAAATTTTTAAACACAACTATTTTTCTCATTGACTTTTATAAGTAAATAATTTTTTTTATAAATTTTTAATTCGTGTAATTTGTTTTAAACAATTTGTTTCAATATATATTTTTAATTAATACTGCATTATAATCACAAAATATATATTTGTTTTTATGATGAAGCTGATTTTATTATTAATATTAAATTGTTTTTACATTATTACTTGTGCCAAAGGTAATATTAAATTATAAATATTTAAATTATAAATTGTAAAATTTTATTCAACTTTTATTATTTTTTTTCTAAAACTTATTTTTTTTTTGTTTAACAAATGACTAATACATTAGTTTAGATAATTAATTAATAGATAATAATTTACTGAACAATAAAACACTTAAACATTTGTTAAACTAATGAATTATTTTTTTGAAGGACATTCATATGAGATAATTTTTATTATATGACATAATTATTTATATATTTATTATATTTTTGATATATTGTTTGATATATTGCTTGATTTTATTATCAGATGTGCCACTAATCCGACTGAATACCGATAAGGACGTACCGGCCATAGGGTTGGGCACGTGGCAAACGGAAGGACCCGAAGTGGTCAATGCAGTGATGAATGCATTGGAAGCCGGCTATCGGCATATCGACACCGCCTGGTTCTATCACAACGAGAAAGATGTGGGCAAAGGTATACAACAGGCCATCGATAAGGGTATTGTCAAACGCGAAGACATCTTCATTACTACGAAAGTATGGCCGAGGAATATGAATCGCAGAAAATCATTGGATATCATCAAAAACTCGCTGAAAGAGTTGAACACTTCGTACGTCGACTTAGTGTTGGTTCACTGGCCACTAGGCTTTGCCAGAGCAACAGCTGAAGTCTATAAGGGTTTGGAAGATGCCTACGATAAGGGATGGGTGCGATCGTTAGGAGTGTCCAACTTTAAACCGGCTGAAATTGCCGAACTCCAGAAAACGGCAAAAGTCATGCCCAGTATGAATCAGATCCGAGTCCATCCGGGCTTCAACCAGAACAAGACAATCGACTGGTGCAACAAAAACAATATTACTGTCACCGGCTATTCACCGCTGGGAACGGGAGCCATACTTCGTGATCCGACACTCGTGAAAATAGGTAAAGCAATCAACAAGACTACGGCTCAGGTGGCCATCCGGTGGCAAATACAGCGCCAACTGGTTGTCATACCGAAGAGTACAAAGAAGAATAGGATTATTGAAAACTTTGATGTCTTTGACTTTGAATTGACTGACAATCAGATGAGACAAATCAATTCAATTAAACAACAAAATATCAGAGATTTTTGGGGATAATCTCTGTTTGTTGTGTTTTTCCTCAAATTATTTAATTTAATGACAATATATTAATAGCTTTTCTTGAATTTCATAATACAGTAGTATTCAGTTCAGTCACTACTTAATTATAAATAAAATTACTGAAAAATAATTAATTTATTTATAAATAAAATAATACTCTAATAAATATTATACAATTAAATTATATTTAGATTTTGCTCATATGTATTTATAATTTATGATAATTTTTAAAAATAATAATTTTTAATTAAATAATAAATTAAATTATGATTTGTTTTGTATAAAAATTTTGCTAAAATTATAAATATGCAAATTATTTAATGACTTTATTATATTTGTAGTTTATTATTTGAAAAATAGAAATTAATACACATATTATATCAATAAAAGTACAAAAATAAATTTTTAAGCACATATTCAAAATGAAAAATAATAAATTCAAACAATTATCGTAACATTTGTATTCAAAGCCATTAAAACAAAATCTACATATTATTATTAAATAATAGTAATTTTGTTAAAATAGTTATGCTTTCATTACGTTAATTTGTTTTGTATACAGAGTAACCATAAATATACTGTATATATAGAAACACACATATAAAAATAACTACAGTAATGATCATAAAAATATTATGAAATTAATTTATATAATGTATATAAAAATAAGTACTGTATGTGATATGTATGTGTGTGTCAGTCATATAATGTAAATCTAATATTTTATTCATTATTATAAATCATTCATTAGATTATGATTTTCTCTAATTTAGACTACAATTTGTGAGCAATTCAACAATAAAACAAAAAAAATATTTTAGCAAACAGTATTGCTATAATTTATAAAGTATTTGTTTGTATATATTTTTCAAATTTTTTTAATTATGTACACTAAACACTAAGTATTATTATTAGTATTACATATTAAATTTAATTGTGAATTTAAGAAAAGATAATAATAATAATAATAAAATATTGGGAAAGTGTTGATATTTATCAAAATGATTATTTTATTGTAATAAAAATAAACTACATATTGTGATACATAACGAAAAAATTTATTTGTGTCACCTTAACACATATTTACAATTTTATTACTTTATATCATTTTCATTATTAATAAAAATATATATTAAAATAAAAATACATATATCTAATTGTCAATTACAATGCAAAATTTTATAAATATTGTTAAATATCTTTTAAATTTGTTTTTATAAATCTATGGATGAAAAATCATAAAATAAATAAAGTTTAATAAAAATTATTTCTAATGTTAATCAATATAATCAGTACTAATAATAAAATAATAGTCAAATAGTAAAACTTTATATGACTTTTGATGACTAAATTGTTTTAATAATTGTTTTTGTTAATTTAATTAAATACAGCTCTAAAAATATATATAATGCCAAATAGGATATGTGTAAAATTGTTTATATCACTAATTTTTGCAACAATTTTGTTAATAGTAATTATGAAAAGACCAAATGGTATTAAAAACTTTAGAAACTTATTTTGGCAATTAGATGACCTGGATTACTATTACAAACATAGTGACCAACAATATAATTCAATAGTAATAGCCGTAACGTGTTGTGGAAAACAGTCTATTGTATCGCAAACTATTGTTATGATTAAATCGATGTTAATATTTTCAAAACAAAATATACATTTAATTATTTACACTGATGTTAATCACCGGCAACTATTAAATGAGGTTTTATTTTAATAATTATTAACATAATTAGTTAAGTTTAAAAATAACAGTTAATTATATTTTAAACATTTGTTAAGTACAGTATTATAAATAAAGTAAAATAAAAAATTTTAGTAACTTAATATTATATTTAATTATTATTAGCTTTATTATTATGTAGTTATTAGCATTACCTCAAAATAAACTTGATCAAATAAGCTTTGAAATAAAAACTGCGAAATTTCCAAATGTTTCCGATCAACATTATTATCGAAATTTTTACTTAAAATGTGCGACACAACGCCTATTTTATCCGGTTTGATAATTATACTGATATTATTCAAAAATTAAATAGCAATTAGTAATTAATTTGTTGACATTATTAAAAACAGGTATTATTGCCAAACATTGACTCCGTTATCCATGTGGACAGTGATGTCATATTTATGTCACCAGTGGAACAATTGTGGAAACACTTTGAGTATATGACTGGAGAACAGATGTTTGCGATGGCCGTCGACAATATGAATCCAAACACATCGTGGTATCTGAAGATTGCACACAACGATAGCCTACGGATACCCAATCCAACCGTCTATTCATTTAATACGGGAATTATATTAATGAATTTGACTCAAATGAGAAATACTAACTTTTTTGGTGAAATGGATCCCATTTTCAAACAATACAAGAACCGAATTCATTGGATTGTCAACGACTTTATGACTATATATTTGGCAAAATACCCGAACCGTTATATGAATCTAAGCTGTATATGGAACTACTTGACCGATCACTGCGATGCCGGCCAGTTGTGCACCGATGCCGATCAATACGGTGTGGCCGTATTGCACGGGAGCCGCAGTACATTTGTTAAGCCTAGTTTATGGGCACCACATGCGGCAGCATTTCGGGCAATATATCAGTCATTTTTAAAATACAAAATAAATACAGATATATCACAGAATTTATTAAAACCAATGGAAAGTAATCTAATGAAAACAAATGAAACCAAATGCGGGAATTTATACGAAATGTTTTTTAAATATATTCATCGATCGATTCAAATTATATCATAATATTTTGCTCTATATATAGAATTAACTTTAATTTCTTAGGTTTATAATTGTAATAGTTATTACTTTTGTTATTTTTTTAATATAAAAATTATTATTATAAAAAAAATCTATATCTAAATAAATAAATCTATAAAACGTATTTAAAGTTTGATTCCTGAAATATGCTTTGACTCCGACATCTAATTTGAAACTACATTATATATAACAAATTCAACTATAAAATTTAAAAAAAAATTATCAAATAGTACTGTACTGTTATAGAGTATATTTTGTATTATTTTTTTTAATTACTAATATCATATAAAATAATAATATTATTATTAGAGAAAAAATTCATGTTATGATTTCTTACCTTTATTATGCACTTATTGTATATATTGATAATAATATTTTGTTAATTGTAAATATTTATCAATCTAATTAATTTTGGTACTATATTAATTATTTTAAAAACTTAATATTTTAAATATATCCTATTTAGTGTTTTATATATTGATATAATGTAAATAATAACTTTATTCAAAAAAATAAATATAATATGTTATATAAAATATTTATAAAATTATTGATATTATTAATATTTACAACAATTATTGGGTTAATACTATTATTAATAACATTTAGAACAAAAATTATTACTTAAAAATAAAGTGGAAATTGACACTTTCCCTAAAATTTTTCAAAAAAATATACAATTTATAAATTTAATTAATAATTGTTAACTTTTATTATGTTTTTACAACATATTTAAATTAATAAATTAAGTAAAAATAGTTAAATTAAAATTTATTTTCCAAGAATTTTTAAAGAATATATTGGAAATATTTTCCTATTTTTTAAATTAACTCCCATTTAAATGGGAATTTTTGGGAAATATTATATGTCAACCATTTGCCAAAAGTTTTATTGTATTAACTTTTTAGGCGCACTAAGTAATTAAAAACTTATTACATATTTTTGATACAATAGTTGCAGTCTTAAGCACAGGCATATCAAGGCATAACATGAATGGTCAGTACTATGACTTATATATTGGTTTAATCAATGGGTTAACCTATAAATATGTTGGCAGGTATTTGAAAGGTAATAAATATAGTGAAAGTGCTATTTGTGATAAATATGTTAAAAGTATCCAATTTTAGATTATTTATAATACAATAATTCAATTAATGCTTTGTTTGGTTAAAATATTTCTAAATTTAACATTTATTTACGTATAAAGCATTTATATTTTACATATATATTTAATTATTATAAAATATTAAGTAAATTATGATTTTTACTAATTTTAAACGATATTTGAAATAGAGATCAGAACCTAAACGGTTTCAGTTCGGTTACTAAATTTCGGTTTCGGATTTCATTACGGTTCGGTTTTAGTGACAGTTTCAGCGGTTTCTATTTAAAAATTATTTTTAAAAAATCTATTATTTAATTATTTTATATTATAATTATGATTATTACACAAATTATTATTGTTTAAACTCGATATTATTAATACATTTCATCAATTATTACTTATTCAAATTTATCGATATTTTATATGAAAATAAAATTGAGATATTTTTTAAAACCATATGACGTAACTATGGTTTGGTTCCTGAAATATGCTTCGATTCCGACCTCTAATTTGAAACTACATTATATATATATAACAAATTCAACATTAAAATAAAAACAAACAAAAAATTATCAAATAGTTTTGTACTGTTATAGAGTATATTTAGTATTAATGTTTTTTTTAATTACAAATATCATATAAAATAATATTATTATAGAAAAAATTCATGTCATGATTTCTTACTGTTATTATGCATTTACTGTATATATTGATAATAATAATAATAATAATAATTTGTTAAATGTAAATCTAATTATTTCATGGTACTTTTGTAATTTAAAAAAAATAATATACTAAATATAATGTGTATATAATGTGTATATAATGTGAATAATATACTATTTAGTGTTTTATATATTAATATAGTATTAATAATAACTTTATTTAAAAAAAATAAATATAAAATGTTAAATAAAATATTTATAAAATTATTGATATTATTAATATTTACAACAGCTATTGGGTTAATACTATTATTAATTTTGAAAAATCCAAACGGGATACATAATATTAGCAAGATAATTTGGCAAATTGATGACGTGGATCACTATTACAAATATAGTGTCCAAAAATCTAATCCAATAATAATAGCCATAACATGTTGTGGCACTAAATTTAATATTGTATCGCAAACTTTTGTTATGATTAAATCAATGTTAATATTTACAAAACAAAACATACATTTAATTATTTACACTGATATCCATCACCAGCTAATCTTTGATGAGGTTTTTAATAATACTAATATACTTATACTTTATTATTATAATAATTATGTTTAATATTGTAGTTATTAAAATTGCCTGAAAATAAATTGAATCAAATTAGTTTTGAGATAAAAACTGCTGAATTTCCCAATGTTTTTGATGAAAAATATTATCGAAATTTTTACCGCAAATGTGCGACACAACGACTTTTTTATCCGGTTTGATATGTTTTGTAACTATTATTAATTAAATAGTAATTTACAAATTCATTAGCAATATATTAATTTACATAAAATAAATACTGTTTCAGTTATTATTGCCAGACATTGACTCTCTGATACATGTGGACAGTGATGTCATATTTATGTCACCAGTGGAACAATTGTGGAAACACTTTGAGTATATGAGTGGAGAACAGATGATTGGAATGTCAGTCAATAATATGAATCCAAACACATCGTGGTATCGGATGATTGAACGCAACGATAATCTACGGTTACCTAAAGCTACCATTGATTCACACAATACGGGAATCATTTTAATGAATTTGACTCGAATGAGAACCACTAACTTCTTTAGCGAAATGGATCCCATTTTCAAACAATACAAGAAACGAATTCATTGGATTGTCAACGACTTTATGACTATATATTTGGCAAAATACCCGAACCGTTATATGAATATAAGCTGTATATGGAACTACTTGACCGATCACTGCAATGCCGGCCAGTTGTGCACCGATGCCGACCGATATGGTGTGGCTCTATTGCATGGAAGCCGCCATACATTTGTAAAGACCAATACAGAGGCACCAAATGCGGCGGCATTTCGGGCAATATATCAGACATTTTTGGAATATAAGTTAAATACTAATATATTACAGAATTTAATAAAACCAATGGAAAGTAATCTAATGAAAACAATTGAAACCAAATGCGGGAATTTATACGAAATGTTTTTTAAATATATTTACCGATCACTTCAATAATAATATTATTATTTCATTTGATATAATTATTATAAATATTATTAATTTTTTTTAATAAATAGTTCATGTTTTATTTTTGAATATTTTTTACAAAAATATTTTTTTGTTATATTTTGATTAATTGTAATAAAATATTTAACAGTTTTAATTATTTTTATTTAATAATTTAATTTAAATAAATTATGAAAAACATAATAAATTTATTACTTATTATTAACAATTATTATATTTTCTTTAAGATTAGTAAGAAAATTATGATTCCCTACCCTTTTCTAAATTCATTAGTATAGGAAACATATTTACTAATAATTTGTTAAAATTTGTAAATGTTTAGAAAAAACAAAGTATCACAATATTTTATTTATATAAAAATTATTTTTATTAAATTTCAAAACATTTAATAATTTTAACCTAATAAAAAAAACTAAACCTTTAGAATAAATTATAAAATAATTAATTGATTAGTTATTAATTGGAATTATTAATTGGTTTGATATTGAAAACAAGATTTTCAAATATTTTTGGCAATTTTCTCTGACTATTATCCGATTGAATACGTTTAGAAATTTTAGCCAACTTTTCGTGAAGTTGTTTATCAGATAATAGTTTGTCGATTGCAGATAACAACTCATTTTCAGTACACGAGTAGAGATCCAATCGTATACCGAAACCATTGTCCTCAACACACTGTGCGTTATCGAACTGATCGACAAACAGTGGTAATACAATCATAGGTTTACCGAAATACATGGTTTCGGTAACTGTATTGTTGCCGCCGTGAGTAATGACCAAATCGACTATTGGTAGTACTTGTAGTTGAGGTATACTTTGCTGACCCCACATGTTATCGGGTAAGTCATACTCATTATGAAGCGGACCTTTCGATACAATAAACCGATTGTTTGATTTAGCCATTATAGTGACCAAACGTTTCATATTTTCGACAACAACAGCACCCATAGATCCTAACGAAAAGTAAATAAGTTTTCCCGGTTTGTCTCGCAATTGCTCCGGTAATTCAAACCGTTTGTCTTTCTTTTCATTTCGCATAAAGCTATCAAATCTATAGACATTTTCGGGCAATGGTCTGATATCAGTGTAATCTAATTCAATCGGATAGTGATATATATTAAGATAAGGAGACAAATGAAAGTATTGACAATCGGGTAACGGTTGACATCCCTTAGAGATAAAATAATTGTTAAAATCGTGCCATATTTGACGGGTGGCGTTGTTAACAGTTTGCCGATACAATTGCCACTGATTTTTATTTCCGTATATTGAATATCCTTCAATACAGTATAAAATAATAATAATATAAAAAATCTTGTTTTTAAAAATTAAAAAACAAAAATAATAAATATATAATGAATATATAATAATCTCATAGTTATATTTAAATTAATTATATATTAAATTAATATTATAAAAATATTGAATGTATCATTTGAAATAAGTTTTATTTAATTTTTGAAAGACTTGACTTGCATTTTAAATTATTAATAAATAACAGATATTATTTTTTAACAATAATAGTATTATAGTTTATATTATTATTATATTCATTCAATATTTTTTTTATTAAACACTTTTTATTTAAATTATTATTTATTTAGTTTTAATAACTATTTATAATAAATAGAAATTATGTAATGACATACCTGATCCATATGGTGGTGTCCTTTTGTCATCAATTAGCAACAATGGATTACTACTACACGACAAAACCCAGGGCACACCCGACTGTTCAACCGATGGATAGCCTATGACCTGGTCTAACACTATCAGATCAGGTCTAACAATATCAATAGTATCTTCAATAATGGGATCCATTTGACGGGAATTCTGACAAAATTTATTTATATGTATTGTTTTAATGTTAACCATCTTATCGATGGACGGCTGGTCTACAAAACAGCCCTCTTCTTGTAGTATTAGAGCCCATAGTTTGGCCGGATCTTCATCGGCATTGATTTTGTCGCCATTAATATCATAGTATATTACTTGAAAACCATATTTCTCTAGTTTTCCCGACCACTGACGTGAAATCATAAATGTAACCTTATGTCCGGCTCCCGACAATTGTTGACCGATACCGATGCAAGAGTTTACGTGACCGACCGAATCGTTTGTTATAAACAATACTGATATACTGTTTACAGTCATAACTGATGAATACTATTCATATGTCTACTTTAATTTATAGGTATAATAAAAATAATAATATCAATATCAATGATTGTAAAATATTGAAATTATAAAATAATAAATCACTTAAAATAAAATTAATAGTTTTTTATAAATATATAAATTTCTAATTTTAATTTATAACTATAATACAAATTATATTTAATGTAATATTATTCTATTATTATTTGTATTAATCAATTACTTTATGTTATAGAAGTTAGACTTACTTTTTAAGATTTAATTTAATTAAAGATTAATTATTACTGAGTTTCACATTTTTATAAAATCAATATTATATTGCTATATAACTATGTAATGGTATATACAGTATCTTATAGTTTGTATTTTTATTCAAAATAGTAGTTTTATAATAGTACTCATAAGTTATCCTTGAAGCTTGCTTTAACTTATAATTTACATAAATAATTACTAATGATAATTATTATTATTTATAGGCCATATAAGGTAATAGCTAATATATATATATATTTATGTCTTAACTATAGTTATCTTTATACAAAAAAAAATTATTTAATAATTTTAATACACATTTTTAAAGCTATTCAGGCTTAAGGTATTCATTCAACTGTTAATTGATTGCTAATATATTTACATTACTTTTATGTTTACTATTATATTATATACTTTATATTTGGATTAATAATAAAATAAAGTTTTAACTACAAACTAATAATAATATAATTTTAATTTGGGATAACAGTATATTTTTTGTTGTTGAGTACTGGCCACTAGTGATAAACATCAACGATTATAAAGGTCATCTCTGAGACATCTAATCGGAGTTTATCCTAAAGACCACATCATAATATAAAAGAAAAAATAATATATTTTTTTAAAAATTAAAGTTATAAAAAAATTTAAATGAAAATATTATCATCAAATATTAAACATATCTTTCATTGTGTTTTAATGGTGTCGACAGTATTAGGCCACGAATTATTTTTCCATTATATGAATAATACAAAAGTTAATAATAATAATAATTTATCTGACAATTTGTCCAATATTTATGGCCAGTGGCCGGCAATAGCTATATATTTTATTTGTTTGTTTATTAGTCTACTAATGTTAACACAAAATTTACTCAATTTTTTCGGACTAATCATTTATAATGCATTCAAATCATCAAAAGCTACAATAAAATCCAAGCGACGGCCACAGGATCTGCCATTTATATGCATACGTGTTGTCACGTGTGGCGACTATCCCGAACTGGTCCGCAGTAATGTCGACCGAAATTTGAAGACATGTTTGACGGCAGGTCTGAGCAATTTTATCATCGAAGTAGTAACCCATAGATATATAGATTTTGGTAAAAGTAATACAAGATTACGCCAATTGGTTATACCAGACAATTATCAGACCAAAAGCGGTGTTTTATTTAAGGGTAGATCACTTCAATACTGTTTGGAAAACGGTATCAACAAATTGGATGCTCAAGACTGGATCATACACTTGGATGAGGAAACTGTAATGACTAAGGAGTCAGTATACGGTATTTGTAATTTTATAGTCGACGGTAGACATCAATTTGGCCAGGGAACCATTACATATGTCAACAACAGTATAGTCAATTGGTGGACAACTTTGGCCGATTGTGGTCGTGTGGCATACGATATGGGATTGCGTCGATCGCTGATGAAAACGTTTCACATACCTTTGTACGGCTGGAACGGATCCTATATGGTGGTCAAGTTTGGTGCCGAACAAGTGGTCACATTTGATCACGGAGTGGACAGTTCGGTCAGCGAGGACTCGAGTTTTGCATTGCATGCCTACGCCATGGGCTATACATTCGACTCGATTGACGGCGATATGTATGAACAGTCGCCGTTCACTGTATGGGATCAACTGAGACAACGTCGCCGTTGGATTCAGGGAACACTGTTGACGGCTCGGATGACTACTATTCCCCTGAAATATAGACTGGCTATGATTATGCAATCTATTTTGCATTTTATGATGTTAGTTCAAGCTATCGCTTTTGTTTATCGGGTGCCGGCAGTCCAGCCCAATAGCTATTTGTGGTTTTATGGTCTAATAGGCCGATTCGGTGAATCATTATTATATTATAATCAATTGTTTGGCGCTTTTCGATCGTTCAATAGTCAACGATTATCGCCAAAAACTTATATATTGTGTTTGATTGGATCGGTACTAACTGTCCCCTACAATGTGCTTTCGTATACAATTGCCGTTTTTTGGGCATTGATAGCACCAAAACATCAATTTTTTGTTGTTAAAAAACAGTAATTATGATACAATCAATATTATATTTAGTGTATAATTTTTAATATGCGATGACTATTTTATAAGTTAAAAATTGTTTTTAAAAAACTTAAAAATTAATTATTTTAATATTTTGTTAGATTTTTTTAAATAACTTTGAAGTTAGTTTACCCTGTTTTAAAAATTTAGTCGATTATAAAAGTTAAAAAGTATTAAAATAAAAATTGAATTAAATGTATTATTTTTATATAATAATAGTAATAACATTAATACGTCATTGTATATATTTAATATACAGTATTATTGATATATCTAATATCCAATATCTATTATCTATATTAAAATTAAATTATACGATACATAGACATAGTATAGAGCTAATTAAATTTTTTTAAAAATAATTTAGGATTAAGTACTTAATTGTGATAATATGAAAATTATTTATAAAAAAATCTGTAATTCAGTATTTAGAGAAAAAAAACAATGCATTACAATATTTTAGATTAATAACTGATTTTTTATTAAAGTTTTTAATACATTATTAATAAATAATTAAAAACAAAATTTTTATAATACCTTATTAATACCTTAATTAATTAATTATTATTTAAATCTTTAATTGTTTTGTTATTGAAAACAAGATTTTCAAATATTTTTGGCAATTTTCTCTGACTATTATCCGATTGAATACGTTTAGAAATTTTAGCCAACTTTTCGTGAAGTTGTTTATCAGATAATAGTTTGTCGATTGCAGATAACAACTCATTTTCAGTACACGAGTGGAGATCCAATCGTATACCGAAACCATTGTCCTCAACACACTGTGCGTTATCGAACTGATCGACAAACAGTGGTAATACAATCATAGGTTTACCGAAATACATGGTTTCGGTAACTGTATTGTTGCCGCCGTGAGTAATGACCAAATCGACTATTGGCAGTACTTGTAGTTGTGGTATACTTTGCTGACCCCACATGTTATCGGGTAAGTCATACTCATTATGAAGCGGACCTTTCGATACGATAAACCGATTGTTTGATTTAGCCATTATAGCGACCAGACGTTTCATATTTTCGACAACAACAGCACCCATAGATCCTAACGAAAAGTAAATAAGTTTTCCCGGTTTGTCTCGCAATTGCTCCGGTAATTCAAACCGTTTGTCTTTCTTTTCATTTCGCATAAAGCTATCAAATCTATAGACATTTTCGGGCAATGGTCTCCAATCAGTGTAATCTAATTCAATCGGATAGTGATATATATTAAGATAAGGAGACAAATGAAAGTATTGACAATCGGGTAACGGTTTACATCCTTTACGCATAAAATAATTGTTAAACTCGTGCCATATTTCACGGGTGGCGTCGCTAACAGTTTTCCTATACAATTGCCACTGATTTTTGTCGCCATTTATTGAATATCCTTCAATATAGTTTTTTAATAATAAAAAATGCAAATAAATATTTTTATTTAAATTTGTTATAATAACAAATAACAAATATAATAAACTTGTTGTTATAATTAAATCAATTATATACTAAACTAATATTATAAAAATATTTATTGCAGTAATAGTTTACTAGTTTTTTTTAATATCAGATAATAATTTTTAAAAATATATAATATACAGCATATCATTATTAGTTAAACACATTTTATAATCTTTATTTGCACGGATAGGCTGCTAGGGGTACATGTATTCAATCTATTTTCTATATAATATGTTTAGAAAGCAATAAAAAATATCATACATATACACATATAATATAATTTTTTATAACTTTATTTAATGCATAATTATAAATTGTTTTCTATACGTACTGTTATAATATCACTACAACTACAGTATCAATATTTAAGCAAAATCTAAGAACCATTTTATAAAAAAATTAATATGTATTTCCAATTATAATTAGGCTATGCTTGCGATGGGAACACCAGGTTAGGTAATGAGGCAAACAATAATACACTAGAATTTAATTATTTGTTATTTTTGTATATTGTGTGATTAGTAAAATATCAAGGTTAAGAGTAGGGGGTAGGGGTATGGCCAGCTTACCTCCAGTGACCAAGATTTTGGAGATTTTATCTCAAGTTTTTCGGAAATTAAAAAAATTGTCGCTTAATAACGATAAGAAATTAACCCCCCTAAAATTTTGGCGCTTAGGGTCAGATTTTAAAAAAAATTTTAATTAATATTTTTTAATTTACTATTTTTACGTTTTTCTAACTTATTTACATAAAATTATTATATAAAATAGTTAAAATTTAGTTACTAATTAGTTAATTTAGTTAAAATTAAGTTACTTTAGTTAAAAAAATAATCTATATATATAACATTTGTAATTTGTAAATTAAATTTTTAAAAATGAAATGTTAAATTTTTTATTATGTTATTAATAGATGCTTATTTTTACATTATAGATATAATATTAATAAACAATACTGTAAATATTCATGTTTTTAGATAATAAAAAAACTAAAAATAAAAATTTATTGTTAATTTTTTACTTTTAATATATAAAACTTAATTGAGTTGATTAATTTGATAAAAATTAGTTTCAATATTTAAATTCGTCAATATAAATTTTATTATTTTAATATAATTTTAAGTTAAAAATGGAGCTATAGTTGGTTAGAATGATTAATTTTATTTCAATTATAGTATGAGATAAAAATAATCATAATAATTTCAAATTAAAGTTTGAAAGTCGACACCCACCCAGTAACCCCTCCTAGGCCAAAAAAAACTTGCTTAACCCTGTATAATATACATAATAATTTTATCATCTATACTGATGTAGCGCATTGCTATCTAGTTATACCTTATTATAACGATACCCCATATAATGTTATATATATAGCATACCTGATCCATATGGTGGTGTCCTTTTGTCATCAATTATCAACAATGGATTACTACTGCACGACAAAACCCAGGGCACACCCGACTGTTCAACCGATGGATAGCCTATGACCTGGTCTAATACTATCAGATCAGGTCTTACAATATCAATAGTATCTTCAATAATGGGATCCATTTGACGGGAATTCTGACAAAATTTATTTATATGTATTGTTTTAATGTTAACCATCTTATCGATGGACGGCTGGTCTACAAAACAGCCCTCTTCTTGTAGTATTAGAGCCCATAGTTTGGCCGGATCTTCATCGGCATTGATTTTGTCGCCATTAATATCATAGTATATTACTTGAAAACCATATTTCTCTAGTTTTCCCGACCACTGACGTGAAATCATAAACGTAACCTTATGTCCGGCTCCCGATAATTGTTGACCGATACCGATGCACGAGTTTACGTGACCGACCGAATCGTTTGTTACAAACAATACTGATATACTATTTTCAGTCATAACTGATAACTACTACTTATTTTATTTGTTAAAAAATAATGAAATTATAATTTTTTAAAATAAAAATTAATAGTTTTTTGATAAATGTTAATTTATTTTTCTAAAGCTTACTCAACAAAGTTCTATTTTTAACTTTAGTATTACAATTTTATTTTCATATTACCTATATTAATTAATTAATGCAATTGACGTTAGTATTACACTTTAAATAAAATTAAAATAAACATATTTGTGATTTTTCTAACATTTTTTATTACTAAAAAAATTATTTTATAGAAATTAAGTAAATTTAATATTAGATTATATTATTTAGATTGTATAGTCTGTATAGTTTGTTATTGACTATAACTTATGGTGTAAACCAATCTAATGTAGAGGAAGGGATCAAATATGCAATGAAAGTGGAATTTTCCATTCATTTTATAATAAATTTATTTAATACTCAATAATCATATTTTATAATTTTTCTTAAATAATAGTATTATTAGTTATACTAATTGAATATTATTTTTCCTGTTTTTAATGTCAATCACTGACCATTTAGTATTATTTTTAGCTATAAATAGTATGGATTTACTCATTGAAATTCAATCTATTATCAGTACCTAAACAGTCATTTACAATATAATTACAGTGATTTACTTTATAATAATATGTAAACCTTTTTTAATAAGTTTTTTATATAAATTTTATTGTATTTATTACACATATAACTTATATTTTTAGTGATTAGAGATTAGAAATATTAATAAAAATAATTAGATATATAAACAATTGATTAAAAGTTGATTATCGTAGCAAATGTTATAAGATATAACAATATATTTTAAAAGGTAGTCTAAAAACATATAATTAAATATAAGCATATATTTCGCATAAAAGATATTGTTGTGTTTTGTACATTAAATATAATATTAAATTAATTATAAAATTAAATAATACTTTAAAATGCCTTCAAAAAGCTATCAATAAATCTAAAGTGCAGTAATTGGATATTAATACACAGGTTGTCATTAATACAACTACAGTACTATAGACTCTATAGTATAGACTATAGAGTACTGTTCCCAGTATTGGATCATATTATTTATATCTTATTAATTAAATAATTTTTTTTGTTATTATATAGTATTTTATTATATACATATATATATATATATTGTTATATATTATATTACTATTAATTTTTATTATAAACTTTTTATATTATTAAGTGTCCGCCGGTTTTATTACCGTTTAGTTACCCGATTCTGGCCCCCAGTGGTCACAGTTGAGTAGTATTGCATTGAAAACAATAGTAAACTTTCACAATATAAAGTATACAGGTCATTTACGGTAATTGTAATTTATAACTTGTAACTCATGGCGTAGTACTACTACTACTATAACTACATAAATATAATTGTTATAATTATTTAATAGAAAGTTATTTTTATAAATTTATTACTACAATAGTTAAGACCAGAATGACTGGTATTTTACAAATACAGTATATTATATTAAAATTGTGTTAAATATAAAAAACATATATAAAATCCTAAATGTATTAAAAGTATGTTAAACATGCTTTAAAAATTATATTAAAAATACGTCAAGTTATGTATAAATAAATAGTAATTTATATTAATAGTATATACTATTAATAATAAATACACAATAAATATGTCATTTTTTATGTAATTATTATACAGTATATATGATTTACAAATCTTGGTGGACATTGATCGGTGATAAGGTTTGATTACAGTAGGCATTTGTATTGATGGACGCATCCAAAAAGTCATGCCAAGTATTCGTTCGATTTTTGCACTCTAGATGTATGGGAACGGTATGTAAACTACATTTACATTTACAGTTGTCTAATACAAAATGACTACTATTATGACGCGAAATACCCGACCAATTGGCAAGAATACCGGTGACAAAGGCGTCGTCAATGTCCAGAACATAATGTCCTGCAATAGATTTGTAAGAGTCTAATGACCGAAGCAATTGATCTTTGTTGACATTGTTGGCGACATATGTCGATAGAGGATAATCGGGATAATAATTGTTTGGATAGTACTGTCTCGGGACATGCCATTTGAAGTCCATTTCTCTGTGAAGAACTAAATCAACAAATCTTATTAAACCATTAAAACCCATATCAAAGTCAGGCAACACTTTCAACAGTAGATCTATATTAACAAAGGAGTCGTCGTCTATCTTCAGTAGATATTTCACTGACGAACAGTACCTATGAAGCCATCGTTGAGTTGCAATGGCTTTGAGTGTCAGGTTATAGTAGTGGTCGACAAAACCAAACTGAATGATATCGTTATACTTGTTTGACTCTATCATCAGCTCTTCATTAACCGTTTGGTTCTTATTTAATGCGAGTGCAAACCAGACACTAATGTTATGTCTTTTGACAGCTCCGACCCAACCCGACCTTAACTCTTGTCTAACGTCAAAGTATTTACCCGTTGATTGACCGGCACTATGAATGATGACAACCATATCGTGACTGGTTTTGCAGTGTTTGGGATTAATAATGACTTTTTTAGTCAATTCTAACTCATGATTGTTGTTAACATACGGCCGCTTAGCACACAGTGATTGACCACTCATGACAACCATAACCACAACTAACACATCAATTATTAACAGAAAGTTTATTGAACTTATCATCATTTGGTTTGTAAATTACAAAATCAAATGAATTGATAACAATTGACTACAATTCAAGTTATAGTTAACTATTGTGAGTGTACTGTACTAACAAAACTAGAGTACCCCAGACTGTGAATTTACTACCAATAAAAAGTTAGTTATTTTTTAATTGCAAAAATTTAATATAAGATTAATTAAATTATAACGTGATATTTTTTTATTATAAATATATATAACTTATATATATATAATATAATATACAGTAAATTTATAAACTACTTATTATACATATAAAATATAAATATTTTGAAAAAAAATTCTAACAGTTTTTAATTATAACTCTACTTTTGATTATAAAATAACTAAAATTTCTAATCCAACGCCATTTATATAGATTATAGAGTTTATATAGATGTATTCAATTAAATATAATAATGCTAAATTTCTATTTTATAAATTATACAATTTTATACATTTCATTTACATATTTTCCTAATTTTTTAGATGAATAATTATATTAATTTTAATAAACATAAAAAATTATTTTTATTATTTACAAATACTTAATTACAGATCATTGCAAATAATATCACAATATTTTTTACTAATTTAAATAATTATTAATTTTAATTTTTCATAAATGTTTTTAAAAATTTGTTTGTATTATGTATAAACTGTTTACTATTATTATTATTATTTATTAGTTTTGATCGATAGTTATAACGATTTGTGAACAATTCAACAATAAGAATAAGCTTTAAATATTTATATGTTTTATCAAATCTGTACTATATTTAACAAAAACATGTATTAATGATATATTATATATTGTGAAATCAATATTTTATGTAAATTATAATAATTTAGTAAATATATATATATCATAATAGCACCATGATCAAATAAACTATTACTAATAAACTCTAGTTTAACCCTCTTTACTAAAGATGGACAAAAAGAAGTTTCTATTAATTATTAATATCATAATAATAATATTAATACTATATTTGAGTACAGCATAGTTAAAAAATAAGTCAATTCATGTATTATAAAAACGTTAAAAATATACAATATTATACTATAAAGATCAGAGTTAAGTCAGGGGTAGTAAGGGGGGGGGGTAAGGCCAAAATGTATGATTAAATGTATGATTGGCCAGATAATTGCACTCGACTATCATTTATAATTTGTTTTCAATTTTCGAAAATCGAAAATTTAAGAAAAATCATGAAACACTTGTCAAACAATTTTAATATATTTTAATTTTAATTTTTATTGTGCTATCTCTTGTAGTTTTTGAGATATTGCATATACCGGTGCTAAACTACATAAGCGCAACGAGAATTAATATAACTATATAATGTTGTCCGTTCTATGATTTCTATGTTTCCTAAAATTTTTTTATTGTTCTAGCTCAATTTATTATAGAGATATTATCCATAAGCCAGTTACTACCCTTCTGTAAATAAATTTATATGTTGTTTATATGTAATTTTTTTATTACAATAATTGTTATTATAAAATTAAAATAAATGTTTAAATGTTAGTCAAATTTATAAAATGTTGTAAAATAATATTACATTTTAAACGAAATTATTTGTATTTTATATTATTATAGTGGCTTGCTATTAATTAAATTATTTTATTTAAATACAAGATTTTATAATTCAACATTATACTGTATATCTCAATTACAAATAAGCATGAACAGGGTCATTAATAAGTTTGTTATTATAAGTTGAATTTTATACATATAGACTATGCAATAAATACAAATTAAACAATATATGAGTTGAATGAACTGATTAGTTGAATAAATGTTGTAATTATCTTGAAATGTGTTAATATTTATTACTATTTATTATTTCATCAGTATATTAAATATATTTATAAAATAATCTAAATTTTTAGTTAAAATTAAGTTAATATAGGTGTATTCAATTAAATATTACCATGATAAATTTCTATTTTATAAATAATACAATTTTATACATTTCTTTTACATGTTTTCTCAACTCAGTAGATGAAGATTATATGCAATGTTTACAAATATAATAATCAGTAATTATTAAAAAGTAATAAATAAAAAGTTATAATAATGTAGTTTAAATGTAAAAAATTACTAATTGCATAATTATAGATAGTATTAAACTAATCATTATTGTAATTGGTTATTTTTTGATTAATTGCAAAACTAAATAGATAATAGCATCGACTGCTAGATACTATTTTTGTTGCAGCAGTCGATGCTATTATCTATTTAGTTTTGTAATTAATAAAAACTAACCAATTACAATTAATATTCAGTTTAATATTATCTATAATTAATTGCTTGGTCATATTTACATTTAAACTATGTTTGACCTGATATTTAATATATATATATATATATATATATATATATATATATATATATATGATAGACTATCATTGATAATATCACCGGTCAAAATCAGTCTAGTTTTAGGATACTCTCCCTCTCTCTCTCTCTAAATATGTTTACAATAATGCTTAATAAAATATGGACTAAATTATTATTTATATTATTAATATTTCCAACCATTGTGTTAATACTATTTTTAATAACGCCTGATGATATTGTACATTTTAATAAAATAATTTGGCAATTTGATGACCTGGATCATTATTACAAATATAGTTTACGAAAAAACAATTCAATAGTAATAGCCGTGACGTGTTGTGGTGAACAGTATATTGTATTGCAAACTTGTGTTATGATTAAATCCATATTAATATTTTCAATAAAAAACATACATTTTATAATATACACTGATGTCAATCATCGGCAACTATTTAAAGAGGTTTTTTCATAACAATTTATAATATTATTAGTTATATTAAAAATTAATTATATGTTTTAAACAATGCTAATTACAGATATATACATTATTGTATAGACAGATATTATTGTATAATAAATACAATAATTTTAGTAATAAGAGTAACTTTAATATTATGTGTTATTTTATTATTATAATTGTGTAGTTATTATCATTGCCGGAAAATAAACTTAATCAAATAAGTTTTGAAATAAAAACTGCTAACTTTCCCAATGTTTCCGATGAAGATTATTATCGAAATGCCTTTAAGGAATGTGCGACACAACGACTGTTTTATCCGGTTTGCTATTTATAATGATATTAATTTTAAAATAGTATAATCAGTATTATTAATTCATTAGATAATATTAATAATACATATTATATTAACTAATCAGTTATTATTGTCCGACATTGACTCTCTGATACATGTGGACAGTGATGTCATATTTATGTCACCAGTGGAACAATTGTGGAAACACTTTGAGTATATGACTGGAGAACAGATGTTTGGGATATCCGTCGATAATATGAATCCAAACACATCATACTATCTAAGGATTTCAAAAAACGATAGCAAACGGATACCCAATCCAACCGCCTATTCATTTAATACGGGAATCATATTAATGAATTTGACTCAAATGAGAAACAAAAACTTTTTTGACGAAATTGATCCCATTTTCAAACAATACAAAAAGCGAATTATGTTTGTTGTCAACGACTTTATGACTATATATTTGGCAAAATACCCGAACCGTTATATGAATCTAAGCTGTATATGGAACTACTTGACCGATCACTGCGATGCCGGCCAGTTGTGCGCTGATGCCGATCGTTACGGTGTAGCCGTATTGCACGGGAGCCGAAATACATTTATTAAACCCAGTTTACAGACATCAAGTTCGGCGGCATTTCATGCAATCTACCTGTCCTTTAAAAGATATAAATTGAATACAAATATATCACAATATTTATTAAATCCTATGAAACGTATTCTTCTAAAAACAAATGAAACCAAATGCGGAAACTTATACGAAATGTTTTTAAAATATATTTACCGATCTCTGGAAATATTATCATAATATTAACTTTAATTTATTATATTTAGATGTAATTTATATTATTTTTTGTAATATTTTTTATCACAAAAGTTGTAATTATAAAATTAAATAGATGTTTAAATAATATAGAAACTATTAAATTAAAAAAAAAATTATTATTACGTTTAAATTACTGTTTAAAATTTATTGTTTTGATTTATGAAATAACTAAACACATTTTCAATAGTTAACTTTTAATCAACAAAAAATCTGTTATAATTTTAAAAATATAATAAAATAAATTTGCAGTTTTGAGAAAATTTATTGTATTTTATATTAGTCAACTAATTTGCTATAAATTATGTAATTGTTATAAATGCAAATATTTTAATTATTAATATATATTACATACCTTTATTACAAATAAACATTTACAAGATCATTAATAATTTTTTATAAGTTTAATTTTGTACATTTTATAAACAGTTTATTATTACAATTTTACTATATATAAGTTGAATGAACTGAATAAATAAATTGAATTAAATATATGTTTGTAATTAACTTAAAATGTGTTAAACTTAACTATATTTAACTGTATTTAAAATCATGGTTTTAAAAAATGTAATAATTGTATGCAATATTACTGTATATACGGTACATAATACAGCTTAGCTTGTTTATAGCTATGATGTCATTTAATTACTGGTATATAACTAAAAATGTGTTAAAAATTTATGCAATTTTTAATTATTAAGGTTTTTGCTTAAATCTATAGTATATATCAAACTTTAGTACTGTATATACAGATATTAATCAATAGATTTAACAGTTTGTTTAAGTTGTTTAATAGATTAATTAACTAAAAAAAAAATTTTAACCAAAAAATGTATTTAAAATTTCTAATACTTGGACTGACATTACACTTGATAATGGCGCAGGACTTAAAATTATTGGAGAACCTGGATGAAAAAATTGAAGCATGGAAAAATCAAACGGCAAACATACAACAAGTGAAAAACTATGGCACCTGTAGCTGTAAGCCTATTATCAATATTATTGAGATTGTCATCCGTGTACTCATCAGCTTATTGAAGGCTGTCTGCCAACTTGTTGACCAATTGCTTACAATGCTCGGCCCAGCAGATCCGCTCCGGGAGGTATTGGATGTTATTAAAACAAATGGTATATTAGGTGTGGTAGTCATCCTGCTTAATTTACTCATTCAAATTTGGTAGTTCCTTGTTTTGTTTGTCTAAATATATATTTATTTATTTGTAATATTTGTCAATTTGTTAATTTTATGTCCATATTTTTTAATGTATTTCTTTTTGTTTGTTATAAATGTAATTTATAATAAAAAGTAATTTTTACAAAAATAAAATTGTTTTGATTGATTTTTATTTATTAACTAAAAATTAGTATGATCAAATATCACATTTAAATCTTATATAATAGTTTTTATTGCATATTAGTTAGAATTATAAAAGTTTACACTAATAACAGAAAATATTATACTATCGGTTATTATTTAATAACAATTTTATTTAAAAATTTGTTTTTTTTAAATTATGATATTTTTGATGGATTCGGTATAATATAATCTAAAACATGATAATAGAGTTATTTAGACCTTTGCCTAGTTTTCTGTTAAATTAAAGATTAGTTTTATATTTTATTAAAATTTTTTATTTATAAAAAAAATTATATTAAAATATAGGGAATCTTTGTTTTTATAAAGAATAGTGAAATAATTGCTAGAAATAAAAACTAAATTAAAAACCATTAAAAAAAATTACGATTAGTTTAATGAACTTTTGAAAAAATATATTATAAAAAAACAATTTTGAAAAAATTTTCTTGTAATTTCTATATTAAACCATATTTTAAACAAATTTTTGTTGCAAAATATGTTACAAATGTAATTAAAATTTAATGACTGGTATAAAATTGGTAAACCACTAGAAATGCTATATTTCTAAATATACTGACAAATATATTATTATTATTATAGTTTGCAAATCGTTATTTACAAAGAGTGTACTGAATCAAGACATACAAAAATACAAATATCTGAACAAAAAAAATTGATATTTAATTAAAATTTTTTTTTTGAGTAATAATGTATCGAAAACTACTCATATTAGGTATAATATTCAGCACTGTTTTGGCAAAAAAATATCCAATTTTGGATAATTTGGAAAAAAAGATAGACCTCTGGAAACAGGAACTGGAAGAGAAAAACAGTGGCGACGGCAGTCCCGATCAAGAGTCTAAATATACTAGTGGTCAGTGCCCGGCGGCCGTACTTATCAATATTATTTGGGGTATTGTTTATGTATCGGAAACATTGTTGAAGTTTATCTGCGAAGTGGTAAAGAAGTTGTTGGAAAATACACAAAACGAAAAACTGAAGATAATGTTGGGTTCGCTTCAGTGCGACAAGAGTTTGGTCACAGCTATACTGGCTCTGTTGGACCTCATTATGAAAACGTTATCTCAATCTCTGGGCACAGGAGTTGTTCATTAATAGCACAAAACTAATCAAAATAAAAACTAATTGTGTTGTTTGTCGTCTATAAATCTTGTGGTGTCTTCACTAATGTTGTCACTAATGTCCCTTAAATGTGGTGCAAATGCATGTCTTTTTTCTCTCAATTGTTATACTCAAACTGTTATATCTAAATGTGTAGTTAATATACTATACTGTACTGTATATTCATTGTCTTATAAAGTTGTTTAGAAATATTGTTGTTTAATTTATTATTAAAAATGATTTTTAAATAAAAACCATTAATACAAAATTAATTTTATACAAATGATTTTATTCATTATTTTATTTAATAATTAAAATTGATTATAATTTAATTACAATAAATTCTAATTAGTTATAAATTAAACGTAGTAGTACGGGTAAATTAATTTGTATAAAAAATTAAGTATAATAAAGGGTTATTATTATATAAAAAATCATTATTATCGTAATTATAAACAATCTAGTTCTAAACAATTGATTAAATAATTGATTATCAAATTATAAATAATTCATTATACTGGGTAAATCTAATTATGCAATACTATTAAAAAATTTTAAAGATATTTTCAAATCATTATAGAAAAAAATCAGTTATATTTCTCAAATGAATTAAAGTTTCTCAATTTAATTGCATTTAAATTATACTGCAGATGACTATCAATTATCAGATGATTCATCAGTAGTTATGTCCAAATCATGTTTGTCATCAATTGTGTCAGTGATTGGCTATTATTAGATCCAATAATTTTTATTAATCATATAAATATCCCAATGATAATCATATTAACTCATTTCATACTTTAATACCATTCTTCGTAATCTCTTTTGATGATTGATTTGTCGACGTCTTTGTAGTTTTGAAATCAATGATTCGTCCGGTTTGTGGATCAGTTATTACTGCCTTTGTTGGTCTCCTATTATTCTTCTAATACACAAATAATTGGTATTAAAAAAATTTGCAATTAATTTATAAAAATAAATTTAAAAAAAACAAATTAAAAAAATATTTATATAACCTTTGGTGGACTGAAAACACAGTACGGAATTGATGTCATGAATGATGGCGGAGGCGGTGGTGACAGAAAGCTTATCGGTAAGTGTGGTATCGGAGGATAAGCTGGAAAAAAATTAATTTAAATATTAAATTATCATTTGATTGACAAATTGATCCACAAAAAAACAACCGGTATATACTTACGAGTAAAATGAGTATAATTTGGCTGATTTTGCATCATTACAAATGTTGTCGACGACATTATCTGTGATCTTTGATTGGTATTGAATGTCATTTGTTTGCTTATGACACCAGAGTTAATGTATGCAATCAGTGAACACAACTCTTCGTTGTTGAATAGATTCGGATAATGAATAACAATGAATCCAAACTCGGATGATGTCATACACGGGAATCGGATTTTATAGAAAGCCTTATCCAGTGCTTCCCGTAGATTATGATTATCAAATTGTTGGCCATTTTTCAGACATTGCTGGTGTGCCCAACGTATGGCACCATTAAAAGCATCCGATTCAGTAATATTTAGATCATCGTTAGCCAACAATTCTGTCAATTCATTCAGCGACAGATTGACAATGTCTTTGCTTTTGAATAGATTGCCGGCATTGACCAGAATTGTCTGAAAACATAAGTCCATTACTTGAGATTCAGATATTCGGTGTTCAAAGTCTCTAAGTTTGTGCCACCAATGAAGACAATTGTTAACATTAAGTTTGGCGCCGATATACTCAAGACATCGATTAATAAGTGATGTAATCATTAGCTTAAGTGACCAATTGATTACATGGATAACTGTATCGTCGTTGACATCGACAGTATCGGTGTATAAATACTTTATGACTGGACTGAAGTGATCGATCGGACAATTTCTGAGTGTTATATACGATAGATTGTCTTCGTTGGACATATTCAGACCAAGTTTATCAATTGACAACTCGAATAGTTGATAGAAAACAGTGGAACCGCTGGCCAGTATCAACTTGTGGGCCATCAATGTCTTGTTTGCGGCCAATATGAATACCAGATCAGCCATCGATGTATTGTTGTATAGCCGACTGATCCGTTCACTTACCGGTCGATTCAAGGCCAACGAGTGACCATTTTTAGGTGACGACAACGACTTCTTCGGTGATTTGCATTCATCAGTTGTGGCCATTCTTTGTCAGTCAAATGTCTCAAAAATGTGGATCAAATTCAAACAATAGTATTGTTTTACTTTATGTCTGACTATAATATTAGTGATGAAGACATACATTGACTGACTTTCACTAATAGTTTTAATGGAAAAAACGTTTTGTAATACAATTCATGTGGTATTGAATTACAGTAATTGTAATACAAGTCATGTATTGACTATAATATTACATCAAATTTATTAATATTAAAAAATTTATATAAAGGGTTAATGATTTTTTTTTGGTTATTAAAAGCGATTGTAGACTGTACTCAATAACATATTTGTTTATTAAAATACATTAATATTTTATACACACTCTACTCACTGTAATAAATACTGTATTTATTTATATTTGATTTAAAAAATAAATTATCATGTTTCTAAATAAATAAGTTTAAAATATTAAAATATAATTATTATTTTTTTTAAAAAAACTTATATTATATACAGTGTATATAAATTAATTCACTTTTTATATATCATATTATAAATTATTCATTTACTATACATACAAAGTTTAACCAAAAAAGTAGATTATTTTCAAAAATATACTTAAGTTTTGCTTAAAATGTTAAGATTGAAACTTGAAATTTGTAAAAATGTGGAAAATTTTTTATTGGAAATATGATTTTATCAATTTATTATAAATAAATACAAAACTTAAAAAACAATTTACAATAATAATTAAATTAATGAAAATAAATTATAATCTCTCTGTCTTTAACTGTAATATAAAGTCGAAAAAATAATTCAATTATCCATTCAATCAATAGGACAATCCATAAATACGTAACGTTATGTTTGAACCGTTTATTAACCAAACAACTAAAAAAAACCATACGATTGGCGCCAATGTTTTGGACCAAACGTTTTGACAACAATTGAATTGATTGAACCAATGAATCGATAGTTTTGTTTGTTTGCAATAATTGTAAACAACATTTGAAATTGATTTTGTTATTTGATTAATGACAGACACTATGGGAAGCAAATCAGGCAAAGAAAATAATAAAGACATGGATCAGACAAGTGATGTCAACAAAAACAAAGACAAGGGCAAGACAACCAATGGTACGAAAGGGTTGAACCCGAAGATGGAGTTGAAGGCCGTGCCATTTGATCCACGATTTCCCAACCAAAACCAGACACGGTATGCAATGGATCTAATTGTGGTGATGTTGTTGTAGTGGTTATTAAATGATTGTATTTATCTTATGATGTGTTTTTCAGCAATTGTTATCAGAATTATTTGGATTATCATCGATGTCTGAAAGTCAAGAATGGCGATGAAGACTACTGTCATTGGTATAAATATGTTTACACTGAACTCTGTCCTAGAGCTTGGGTAAGGCTTAACCATCACAACCACCAAACCATACAAATTGTCAATTAATATCTGATAATATTTGATACTGTCTTTACAGACAGACAAATGGGACGATCAGCGAGAGAGTGGTATATTTGCCGGTAGGATATGACTGGACTGACTGACTGATCATTCAATTGATGGACACATACATCATATCATATGATTTTGACAATGACTAACAAATTTTATGTTTTTAAGTGAAATTTTTTTTATAATTGTTTTTTTTGATCAAAAAATTTCTTTTATCTATAAGTTTTAAGTAAAATATAATTTAAAAACAAATAGTTTATATTATAATTTTTTAAAACATTGTATTAGATTTAATAATTTAAATAATTTTGTTATTAAATATTTTAATATTACAGTAGTAGTGTTTGTGTAATAGTTTTTAAATTAGTTTTAATATATGTTTAATGTTTCTTAAAAATATGATATAAAATATTCAAAATTTATTTATTTAAAAAATATATATTAATAACGGATATATTCTCAGTTATTAAACAGGAATTAGACATAAATTTGTTTAAATAATATGATTGAAAAATACTAGTAAAATAGCAAAACTTTTGAATCAAATTTGTCTAATTTCATGAATTTATATTAATATAATATATATATATATATATATATATTGTTACTTTAAAAAAAAAAAAATGTTTTCATATTTTTATTAAATGATATTTCCTATTAAAAATGCAAAATTTTTAAAATGTTTAGAAAATATTAAATAAAATAATATTATAAGAATATGAGTATTTAAGTTTGATATTTGAAGATATTAGTAATTATTTGAATACTAGTTTTATTCCTATTTAATTTAGATTCATTAACAATTGGTTTTGTATTTTTAAATAAGTTTAGATTTAAAAAATATAATGAATAGTCTATATTTGCTAATAATTATATGTTTATTTATAAGCAATATTTCATGGTAAGTACTATATTATTATAACGGTAATTATAATTGTTAATTATTTTATGATTGTAAATAATTATAAGATTTTGATATTATTTAACCCGATCTATTAAAATACTAATTATTGTTTATATAAAATTAATTTAAAAAACCAAAGTAAGCCAGGTTGGTTTTCATCAGATGAGGTCGAAACCACTTCTACCACATCATCCTCATCATCGCCAACAACAACAACTGCCCAAACAATTGTTACAATCGGTAAATCTGTTGGACAGTCTGTTACAACAACACCAACTATAATAGTAGACGACTATAAACATACAGTAACTGACGGCTCATTGTCATCAACGCAGACAACACCGACAACTAAACCGAAAGGTTAAATAATTTATATATATTAAAAAATTAACTTGCTTATATTTTTAATTATGTACCATGTATTTATTGATTATTGATTTACTTGATTTAATTATTCTTTAAAATATTATTATTATATTATATATAGTAGATAAATATGAGAGTATTAGTACAACTGTGACACCCATTCAAAACAATTTGAATCTACCGATTGTCGACTCATTTCCCGAATTGAAGACATTTTTCAATAATGAATTCATGAGTGATATCGATCTGATTATCGGAAAACAAGTCATTAAAGCTCATAAATTTGTATTAAGTTTAAAAAGTCCAGTATTTATATCTAAAATAAAGGAAATGGACGACAATTACGCGGTTGGGTTAACCATTGATGGAGATTATAGATCTATTGAAGCATTCATTCAATTTTTATATACCGAAAGGTTTGTCATTACAGAGACCACTGAATTTGAATTAATTAAAAATGTCTATTCATTGGCCAAAGAGTATAAAATTCAAAGACTAATACATATAATTGAATTGAATATTAATCTCATACTTAATCTACAAAACTTCGATAAAGTATTTGAATTTTTATCTATAAATCAGTTGAGGACTGGTATCAGTAAATGGCGTGAATTTATCCGTAAAAATACAGATTTAATATTTAATGGTAACCTCTATCTGGTCAGCGATACCTATACTACGGAATGTATTGTCTATTCAATGGTATTGACATCACAGCAGAAGATACTAGTATTGGATAAAGTCAGACAACACGACTCCAAGTTTGATCTAAAACGTTATAAACGATTGGTTGATGTCGGCGACTGTGACATCGATGACTTGTTGAAGATGAAAGAATTGAAACTATTGACTGATAGCGAGTTTGAAGACCGACTTAAGGAACAGTCGTCAAAGTTTTGCAAAATGGAAAAACATTTGAATGATTTGAAACAATGGAAACTCGATCACGAAGTCAAGTGTATTGATCTTAACAATAGATACGACCAATTGGTGAGACAATGCACTTCTCGTCGATCATACTATCCGTCACCGTATGACAGAAGGTATACAAGACGTAGAAGTAGTAGTAATAGTAGTACTGAGTATGAGAAACCTTTGGAGAGTCCAGTGGTTGTCCAAAGTCAGCCTAATCTCGATGGAGATCCGCAATCAAGTTTAATAACCGGACCATACGTTAGGCTTAATCAAGAATATTATATTAAGAAATAGAGACTAGAATTTGATAATTGAAAGTAAAATTAATTTTATGTTTTAATAGATACTAATTAAGAGATTCACTTTTTATTATAATATATGATAATATAATCATTAATTTATAATTTACAAATAACAATACTAAATAAGATTTTTTTATTAGAAATTTAATATGATATAACTAATAGTATTTTTTGTGCTAAATTATTATGTAATAAATTCTAGTTTCAGAAAAAAAAATTAATTAATGATATTAGAGTTGAATATTGTGTTTTAATATTGTTTTTGTATATTTTTAAAAATATAAGTTACTTAAATTATGTTCAGTATCATTATAAATTAATAATCAGTAAATTATAAATTATATTTTGTTTTTCATATATAATTAATAAAATAAAACTAAAAATAATAGACTAAGTATTTCTAATCAACAAAATTTACATTTTTTAAAATTTATTAAAATTATATAAAAATAAAATTGAATTAATTGAATGTTTTATATCCACTATATTGATAATTATTATTTTTTGTTTTTATTGGCGACAAAATTTTGCGATTACTGGTTATTTTATCAAATTGTTTTGAATATGATATACATTTATTAATATATAAATTATTAATTGATTTATTATTGTTATTAAGTTCCGATTCAATCAAATATAAAAGCGTTGAATTAAGTAATGAATCCGATAGTGACTGATGTCTATCATATTTAACGATATCTCTCTTTTCTGTCAACTGATCTCTGGTATAATCTCTTAAGTTTGGTGTTATATAAACAGCTATAGCTTTGGCCTCAGTTAACATTTGATTTTTTAGCGACGAATACTTATTAGCCGATTTGGCCAACAAATAGAGTTTTACGGCCAACCGATTGTGACAATCACCGTAATATCGTCTGAAAATGTCCATCACTTGGATCCACAAATCAAAATTGTTGTCCCGATTGGCCACAAACTCGGCGATCTTCACCTGCAGTACAGTATTCAATGGCATCACATCTTTGCGCAAATTGGCCACCAATTCGCTAATTATATTGTTATCATTTTGGGCAATACTGACACCAAAATTCTGATGACCCGAACCACCGGTGCGTGCAATCAATTGCTTAGCCATCATCTCCTGAGACAACTGTTCAATCTTTTCACAAAACGATCGCAACTCTTTCTGTTCATACATTTGGACCACACATTCAGTTAAACACTATATAAAAATATATATACACAAATAAAAAAATGATTAATTAATTTAAGAAATTTTAGAGTAATTAATAATTTTAAGTAATTTGCTAATTAATTAAAAATAATTTGATATCTTGTTTATATCAGAGAAATTAATTATTAAAATTTTAATGATAATTACTTTTGATATTTTAGGTATTAACTAGTATTGTCTTAAATTTTTAAATTATTTTGTAGATAAAATTTATTTCTATCTATCTATCTAATCACTATTATCGTTAAAATTAATTGATCTAGTTAAATTTATCATATATTTGAAAGTTTTAAAAATATTAATTTTTGTTATTATTTACACAGCGTTCACAATCGCAGTCAAAATAGTAGGCACTTCTCAGTATTTTTTGTCGTTCATCGGTGGTCTCAAACTCGTCTATATAAGAGATCTTCAGATCAGTTATATCGGTGATAGGCATAGACTTAATGGCTTTGATGTACAGTTGTGTACCAATAAACATGAATGAAACCGACGGTCGGCAGGAGTGGTCAAAAATTGATGGTCTTTTGAGTTAAAACAAAAAAAATCAATAATAAATGTATTATAAATACTAGTAATAATAACCGTTAAGGTCTAATCATTTCATAATTTGGTTATTAATGATTAGTAGTTTTTTATGTGTATTATCTAACCCAAGATATATAGCTCTGCCTATGGGTTTCATAAGTGGGTCCTGAATAGCAAATGAGTTGATAAGCAATTTGCCATAAATGCTTATAATTGTCTCCATCTTCGGCAGTGTGTCACCAAAAATTAGACACAAATCATCATAAATAAGCTCAAAGTCACGCATAACTGAATAATCTTTAACTATATTGTCGTAATCTATATATTATTATTATTATGCATAAAGTAAGTTAGGAAATAGAAAAAAATTCATTTATTATTTTCTATATATCACTTGAGGGTGAGTGAGACTGTATGTCATAAAAATCATCATACGGTCCATTAAACAACTCCAGTCCCGTTTATGATTGCCGATCACTACTTCCATATCGGTGTCCGACTTTTCCAACCGTTTAATAACACGTGTAATAAGTCTAGTCATTGTCCAAAGGGGACGGTTCATCATAACGGGACACTCAAGTCTGTGGTTGTCCTGTTCTGTGGCCTCCGACTAGTAATCATAGAGTATATTAATTTACACAAACTTTTGTTAATAGATTTAATAAAAAAAAATTAATAAAAATTTGATGTTTTATGACTATTGTATAGTTTACCTGACATTTACGGCTACAATACGCCACTTTTAAGCACTTAAAACATGATATTTTGGTTTTACTAAAAATAAATTATTTTACATTAGCATATGTTTGCATTATGTATTTAGTAAATTATTGTAATAAAAATATTTTACAGATATTTTTTTTCTATTACTAATTTATGAAAATTCAATAAACAATTATAATAGTTATAAAATACTTACAGTATTTTAAAACACTGATCGCACCGGTAGTTGGCCTCCAATGAGAACAAAACAAATGCAAACGGTTTGGACGTAATAATTAGATCGCCTTTTGTTACATACATTTTATCGAGCATTATATTGATATCAGTTTTTTTCAGGAATTAATTTCACTAAATAATAATAATTATTATTATTAAATTCAACACTTTATGCAATTCAATTTTTTGTAAATGTGTTAAATAAATGAAACAAATGTCAAATAAAACTTTTTTGCATAACTTTTTAAATGTCTTTTATATTTTATTTGATCAAATATCTAGTATTATTGCGAAATTTATTTTTGAATGTTTGCCAATAGTTCTGCTAAAAAAACTAATATTCAAATATATCTATATATTTGATGATATTATATATACAGTATATATATATATATATATATATATATATAATTATATATTAGTTTTAGAGTCACTTCTCGTCAGTTAAAAAAACATATGGATTTTTATGCGCTATTTTTATTAACTCTAAATATTTTTAGTTTCAACTCCTAAATGACGACAATTTACAGTACAGTATATTGTATACCATATAATAATCATTATTATTGTTGATATAATTAAATGTGAAAATTGGATGATATCTGGGGGAATATGCAGACCCGTGATGTGATGTAAATGTTACTAAATTTATAAATTTAATGCTAGATTTAAATATATATATACACACAATGAATAACAAAAATAAAAATATATAATTAGCTAATAATCCTGGATGTCATATGATTTTGTATGTTGAAAGTGGCACCAGTATTATTATTAATAATAATAATATATTATATTATGTCTAAAATAACAATTAATTTTTGTTGTATTTAGTAGATAAATTTAATACATAATTATTAAAATAACAAAAATTCTGACATTGATGACATTTCCTACATTTATAAAAGCCAATGGCAATCTAGTTATATGTGTTACTATTATTTTATATATGATTTCATATTTGAAACAATTTTAGTTTATGAATATTGTAATCAATTACTGACAATAAGTGTAATATTGAAATATTTAATATAACAAAAATGTCACACAATTCTCTCAAAACTTAAACAAAATATTTAAAAAAAATATTATTTGATGCATTAAAGTTTAAATATCATATAAATATGTAAAAATAGATTATTACTGTATATTATATTTAACTTTATTTAGTATATTTCTATATTTAATGATAAAATGTTTTTTTTTGTATAAGTGTGTATAGATATTACTATTTGAATATTACGAAAATAAGTAATATACATCATTTTTTCTTATAAATATTAAAATTTATTTTAAAAGATATATATTATATTTAGAAAAAATTATAATCAAATTAATTTAGCATATAATCAATCTTTTATATTATAAAAAATTTATTGTCACGTATAATATCATATAATATTTTGAATAATATTGCATCAAAAATGCACTGTTGATTAATACTGTAGTTAATTTAAACTTTTTTAAAACTCATATTAATAAATTAATTAATATTGAAAAATTCAAATTAAAATTAAAATTAGTTATCCTATATATATTTAATTATTAGATGTCACTAAAAATATATTACAAATAAATTTATATATATATATTTAAAAGTTTTTGATAAATGATTATTATTTAATGAATGCTAGCATTACAATATTAATGTATTATAAAAATACATTTATTATATAAGCGCGTCTTTAAACTATTGAGCAAAAAAAAAGAAAATCAATTAAAAACTAATTATTGACTATTAAATGATTTGGTAATTATAATCGTAAAGTCTCTGAACATATAAATCTTATCATTAAAATTATTGCTTTTAATAGTTTTAGACATAACATCATAACAATGAATTTGATTTTATTTTCTTTATAAATATGACCCAAATTGTTGTTTATTCAAAATATAAATGCTATCTGAATGTTAAAAACATAGCTTATATTTAGTACATTAAATTTGTAGTCATATATAGCAATACTACTGTATTTAAAAAACTTTTAAACCAATGTCAAAGATTTCAACTTTATAATGTCTATAGACTCTATAAACTTATTTAAATTTAGTAAAACTTATTTTTTTATCAAAAAATGAATCTAATATTTTTAAATAATAGTTTTCATTGATTTATTATATATAAAATTAAGTCTAATTATTTAGCAATTTGTCAAATGTTTGATGTAAATGTTTGAATTAATTACTTTTTTATATTAAAATCTAGTCATAAAATTGCAAACAAATGTTAATGTAATATATAATATATAATTATTAAAATTATATTTGAATTTTTGAATAAACTATTTTTTAAAAATAAAAACAATGCTATTTTAGAATTGCATATTATTATCACTATTTACTAATAATTTAACTAATTACTTGAAATATAATATGTTTAAAACATTTTTTATATTATTTTTATTTAAAACCAAATATAAACAATTGTTTGTATGTGTGTGTGTGTGTGGGTTAACAAAAAAAATCAGTAGCAAAAAATGTTAATAGCATTTCAATTGTTATGTCAATTACAAGTTATTATGCTATGTGTGATACTTACTATAGTACAGGTATATTATTAATAGGTTTGTAATAATAATAATAGTAATGATAATATTAAAAAAAACAAAAGCGTTTACAACACAAAATAGTAATTAACTTGAAATCGCAAGCATTGGTACACAATATAAGTGATGAGCCGATTATCGATAGGTTTGTGTGACAGTCGAGTGCATCACTACTTAACCAATGTTTTAGAGTTAATGAATGTCTGTCTTATGTGAAGTTCATTATCAATCACAAAGTGGTTGAAAAAAAACAATAAGTTAGACAACAATCACACAAAAAAACTTTTTGATAAATTGTTTTAATTTCAAATGTATTGCCCGAAAAAAAAGTTGTCTAAAAGTTTGAATTAATGCTAACTTTGTAGATGTACTATATTATTATTAGTAGTATTATTATTATTATAACATACATAAAAATATATATATTTATTTTTTTGTAAATATATATAAATCACAAGTATAAAATTAGTTATATGTGATATTTTTATAATAATAAAATAAAATTTGTTGAAAAATGTCTATTTTTATGGAAAAAATATAAAAACCAATGTTAATACAGTGCTTAGAAATATTAGTATCCCATTGGGTTATTTAATTTATATTAAATGTAAAAATATTTTTAAAAAAAGATTTTATGAGATAAATGCTTTTGCTTAGAAAATGTTTATATTTATTGAATATACTGTATTTGACAGTAACTAATAGTCAATATAGAGAGCAATAGGAAATGTTTTAATTGTTGTCCCAATTTAAAAAAAAAATAGTTTATTATAACAAGTAGTTGTTTGACTATCTTTTTAAAAATAATATTTATATGTATCGCATATATTGAGTAAACTGTAATAAAACTACTGTATTTATGTATTAGTATTAAAAACAAAATTGTATAAATCTTTTTAATTATGTTTAAATGTTTAAAATAATATATTTATAGTTTTAAATTCAAATAAACTCTCAATTCAAATAAAAAATAGTTAATAATAATAATACTGATTGCAAACTATATTTATAAAACAAAAGGGTAATAATTGTATAATTGTTTGTAACGTTTTTTTATATATAAATATTTATAAACACTTAACGTTTTATTTTCAATTGAAAATACAGTTAACAAGAAATTGATAATTTAAAAAAACATATGAATTTATTATTAAATAAAAAATGTACATTTTTAACCAACACACACCTATGTTTTTGTAGAAATTATAAAAATCAATAAAATAATTATACAAAAACAAAAAATGTTATGAAAATTTTATATACCATTTTCTCTCTCTTTTAAATTAAGTACAGGTTTTAAAAGTACATTGATTTTTCAATTAAATTAAATTTAAAAATAAAAAATATATAATAATAATAATAATGCTACCTTACACGATTATCCATATTAATAAATGATAATAATTTGAAATTAAAACATTGTATTTGTTTTAATTACAATAATAATATAATAATTATAATCAATATAGGCGTACATGTATACTGTATTTGAAGTGCAAACAAAAAAAATACTACAGTATTATGATTAATGATATCATATAATATTATTTTGTTTCTTCAAATATTTTATTTAAGTAGTGGTCGTAAAAATAGACAGTTAGAAAAAAAAGTTCATAATTAATATTTATAAATAATTATTAGATATATATTATAGTAATTGTTTTGTAATGTTTTTAAAAATGTTAATTAATTTATTTTCTGATTCAAAACTCTCTCCATTGGTTTGAATGATGCAAACGATTGGTTGACTTTTGTTGTGCAATCAAGTAATTATCAATTGAATTGTGATTATTATTATTATTATTATTATTACTATTAGCTGCCGTTAACTTCTTCCGGATTGTATGCCTACCGGCAAACATGTCCATAGATTCGGGACAGTCGTCAATCGGGTCGAACTCGGGAATCGGTGCCCGAATCGGTCTAATACTTGGCATATCATTGCCGCCGCTGTTGTCCAACGATGACAACTGTAGCGAACTGTTAAAGTATTTTCTTAAATCCACATTTGAATTGTTTGCACAAATAGCTAACGATGTCCGCTGTCGGCCATAGTTTGGTACCCGAGCCTCGAGACCGCAATAGTATAAGTCATCTAATAGTTATTTAGAGTATCGGTAAACATAAAAAAAATCAGATAACATATAATAGAAATTACATAACAATTATATTTTCAAAAATAAAAAGTTTTAAAAAACAAACTTAATTAAGTATTAATTAATTATTGTGTTTGTTTGTTAGACATTTTGTTTGCTTAATTAATCTACTAATTTATTTGTTTGTTATTTTTGTTGTTTTGTTTTTTAGTTAATATATATATATATTATGACTTAATATTTAATTAAATTTATTTTCGTTTTTTTCTTTTTATTAAAGTTTTATAATTAAGTTCAATGTTAACCAAAATTATCTTCAAGTTTTTTTTCTCTCTGTGTGTGTGATATTAATGAGAGAGAAAAAAATCTTTGTTTCAATTTTGCTAACAATTAGCTATTGTGTCATCAAATTTATTATTATAATAATAATAGTAATATTATTTAATATATTTCTCTTTCTATTCATAACGTGTGTCTATAAAAAATATTTTCATCCCATTCCCATGAAAATTAGGTTAACATTAAAAATATAATTCCTTTTAATATTATAACTTTGTATTAAAAATATTATTAGTTCAATAAAAAGTGCAATTTTACTAAATTAGTTGAATTCAATTGAATTGAAATTATATATATATATATATATACTGTATATACTATAAGACATAATTATTTTGAAATTTGAAACAATTAGTATATACAATATGAGAGTTTTATCATTGTTACTAAATTAGCAAAATATAATAATTTTTTAGTTGCTTAATAGATTTTTATACACATTTAAACTAACATTAGCAGTAACTATGGTATAGTAGATATGTAAATGAAAATTGAAAAATAAAATAACAAAAATATGATTTATGATTATTGTATTTTTAAAAAGTTATAATGAAAACCATAAACTTCACGATTTAAAAGTCGATTATGAAAATAATTTTATTTTAAGTAAGAAAAACTAAAAATTAATTAATAAAATATTTAAAAATGTTAAATATACTGTAGTATACTGTATAACAGTACTTTTAGTATATAATTTACTATTATTGAAAATTATATGTAGAGTAAACATTTGAAAATTTAATTTTAAAGTTGAAACATTAATTATAGGTACTTTTTAAAGTGAATTTTTCAGACTTTAATACTATTAATATAAATGAGAGATGAGTTGCCATTTCTGGGACTATGACCTTAATAATAGACATCACATATAAACTTTCCTCTCTCTCTCTCTCTCTCTCTCTGTGTGTGTGTGTTTGTTTGAATTTATATTTATTAATGCTGTACTGTATATGACTAATAATTAATTTCTGATTTGTACATTAAAATTTTGCTTAATATAATTAGTGATGTGCAAAATACATGTTAATTGTCATAAATAAATAGAAGTACTCTAAATAAGATTAATATTTAAAATAATAGTCATTTAATTGTAATGTGTAATTTAAATTAAGAATAATCACATTATAAATAAGCTAATTTGTTTATTGTTTTTATATGCATTTTAAACTAACAATTGTTTGATAAATTAATAATAATAATATTTTATAAAATTATCTATCATATTGTAAATTATAGCTAATCAATTTTTAAAGTATCAAAATATTTAAACAATAATTTGCATATAATTGCAAAATTTTGAACAAATATTTATCAATATAATAGATATTGTTTTATTATGTAAATTATTATAATAATTATTTATAAAAAATAAATAAATGTCAATCAAAAATATTGAATAATAATAATAATAATAATAATCAATAGATTACATACCGAGACATCGGTTTCGGTAAATATTTGGCGAAAAGTTTTCATTTTCTGTCAAAACACGATTCAAGTGATCACGTCGTGAGGTTGGCTGCTGTTGTGCCGCTGTTGATGACGACGTCGACGATAAGGAACTGGACATTAGGCTATAGTCGGTGGTGGCACCGGTAGATCTAGATGTTGGTGTCTTATCCTGTCTGTTGAATGTACTTAAAAATTGTTGTGAATATCTTTTATTTGTCAAACAATTACTAGTATTCATGTAATTAGCTTTCGGTAGTTCTCTATCATTGACGGACTGTTCAAATATTGTAATAAATTTGGGTGTTTGTGGCACTGGTATGGGAAACTTTGTCTTCAGCATATCCAGTGCCACAATATTGATAAGCATCATCCAAATAGGCTGATCCAATACGTTAGTCTCTTGGCGTACAAAAGCCATACATGAAATACACTGGATCTCCAGTTTTCGTCTGTCAGGATATGAGTTCCTTAATTCATTGAACACATCCGTCTGGAAGGTCTTCATATCAAATAGTTTATGCGATTTATCAAACTCTATGCCAGTCATTGATGACTGACCACCTTTTCCTGTACTGACTGTCCCATTCAATCCATTTCCATTTACATATACATTGCATTTACCCACTCTTTTGATCATAATATTACCATCATCATCAATTTTTATTTTTGCTCCCTGTCCAATTCAATTAATTATATAAATTATTTTATGTTCAATCAGTTTCAATATTGTCCATTAGAAATATTATACTGTATATAGATATATGTATTTAAATAATAATTATTGAAACGACATACCGATCCAATATATTTCATGACATCTTCAGTAATTGGATCGCGTTTAGGATTTTGAAAGCCATTCAAACCGATCCGATAGCCATCAAAGCCCGTATTGGATCCATTGATGGACAGTACCTGTGCTCTGGCGTATGCTTTAGCCACCCGTCGGTTCCTTTCCATACATATTATTTTAGCCCAAATTTCATCATCAATTTGATCCCATTTTTGCAATATTTCCTGTATGTGGTCCTGAAAATTGTTTTTTATTTATTTAGTAGTCTGATGTCATATATATAAATAAATTAATATATATATATTTTAATTATTATTTAATAATTTGATAAATCAATGCCTGCACTGTAATTAAAGATAGGAAATGAAAATATATAATTTTATTTTTATTTATATTTTAATTGTCGACAGTTTAATGTTATGTAGTATTAAGTTATTAAACTAAAAGAAAATAAATTATTGTATTAATTGTACAGCTATTTAATTAATAACGAAATGTACAATAAAAATGCAATAAAAAATTAGTATTAATATTTATTGTTAGTATTATTTCAACAAATTATAATTGATATGATGATGACTGTAATTTAGATAGTTTTATTTATCAAAATACAAATAAATAAAATATTTATCTGAAATTTGCATAATTTTTTAACACTTTTTTAATGTTGTTGTTGTGTACAATTGCAATTTGATTGACATTTAAAATGCAACAATAATCTATACAATACATTGCATTGATATTTATAAAGTGTTTATTTGAAATTTATCAATTTTAAAATGATAATTTCAATTGTGTGTCAATACTGTATAAAGTATATATAATAGCCGTTCAAAAAGTACACCTTTTCTCTACCCTTATTACCTGTAATTACCATTATATAACATTTTTACATTTAATATCTATTATTATTGCAAATAATGATAATCATAACCATAATAATAATAATAATAATAATGTTAATGAATACCAATAAAACCCACTGATTTTGAAAATTGTATTATATTGTTATATTGACTTCTATTATATTGATTTTTTCATAAATTAATTTTTTTTTAAATTTTATTTGTTATTAATACTCAATAAAAATGTTTAAAATATTATACAATTATTGTGCATTATTTAAATTACTGTAACAACTAATAAAGTTTTACAATAAGATTTAATTACAAAAAAACTATTATTTTTATTAAAATATTTAGCTAAAATATTGTATATTATTTAAAATGTTATTAACTTAAAGTAAGCAAATAAGTAAAATAAGTAAATAAAAAAATTAAACAAGGTTAATTGTTAATTATATCAAATTTTCTAATTACTTTTATTACCCATGGCTTACAATAAAATTAATGCATATTTAGGCAAAAAAAATCTATTCTATAATATAATCTGAAATAATATCAGTTATCAATATATTGTATTTAAACATAATTAGTAATATACAGTATATATATATATATAACATTAATTCATATGATATATATAACAATATGCTGTGACTATCTATTGAATAATCACCAAAAAAATATATATGTTAGTCATGAATACTAATACTACCAAAAATGGGAACCTAATCTATATTAAGAGTTAACAGAAAATATGATATATTTTTTATTTAAGTAAAACTATCAGTATTTTAATAATATACTATATATATATTTATCAGTAAAATGCTACTGAATAGATAAATATCTCTTTTTAAACAAATTAAAACCAACAAATAACAAAAAATAGTTGTTAACTTTTTTTCAGTGTAAGTAACATGCAGATCAATAGATTAAATAATTTTATTTAAAAAATAATAATAATAAAAATATAAGTTATAAAATATGATAATGAATAATGTGTAAATTTATTTATATCACTAAATTAAATCTTAAATTTTACTACTTTATAGTAACTTTTTAAATTTGTTTGTTTTTTTAAATATTAATTTTAATATTTAATATTAAATAGTTGCTGTAAATACTATATATATATATAATATTATAAATTATAGTTTAACTTATAACTGCCAACAGACTATTAAAAAAATTATAATATTTATTATTATTTTTTTAATAATTACAGGTAATATAAATATAGCAAAAATAAAGACCAAAATTCAAGGTTTAATGAACAGATTGCCTGAATATGCATTTAAATGGCAACAAAACAAATATGTATTTTAATGCTAATTCACAGTACAATTAAATCACGAAATCATCTGTAAATTTTGGTTTAAATAAATTTTTTCTGGTATTTGCTTTTTTTCTCCATATATGACAAACTATTATAATAATAACATGTTTGGCACACACACACACACACACACCGTACAAATTATCATTTTATCTATAATTATATATTTTTAAATAATTATATATTTTTAAATAAATATATATTTTTAGTTAATATATTGTGTGTTTTTATTAATTATAATATAAATAACAATTGATATCCAATATATAAAGCTTTTAATTATATTGTTAATAAAATAAAATAATAATTATTATTATTTAAAATAAAATTATTCAAAAAAATAAATCGATAATTGCTAGTTTTCATTTATCAGTTAATTTTATTAAACTTTGCAATTTTTGCCAATTAAACAAAAAAAAACTAAGTTTAGTATTGTTTTTTGTTTTGTTATAATATTTTCATTTTTTATAATTAGTATAATTATATGTATTTATAGCTAAAATACAATTATCTTATTTGTAAAAACACTTACCCGAAACAGTTTGTCTTTACTAATCCAATAATTATCGTCAAACTCATAGAGATTGACATTACTATTGCCATCATTGAGTACATCGTGGGAACGGGAGATGATTTTACGTCGACTAATCATTTTATTAAAAAAAATAACAATATTTATGATGTCTTAAATTTGCACTTTTATTATTCAATATTATTATTATTATTAAATTCAATTTTTTTATTTTAAAATAAATAATGCAATCTTTTTTATTTAAAAAAAATTATTCAAATAAACATTTACAAACAAACATAAAAAAATAAAAATGATGATATTTTAATAATTATAAATAACTGTTGTTTTTATTAGTTTTATTGACCACATTAATTAAAAAATTATTTTTTTAATTTATAATTTTGCTGTTTGTTGTTTATATCGGTTAAACAAAAAAAAACTAACAAAAAACCAAAACTTATATAACAATCATATATATATATAAATAAGTTGTGATGAGTTTTCAAGTGATCACAAACAATAACAGCGAAACAACTATCTATTGACTGTAATATAATATATGTTTTATGGTTTATCCCATACATACACACACACAACAGTCAGAGCACAGGTAGACTCTCTCAAAAGCAGTTATGAATGTCTTATTATGTTTTCTAAAAGGATTGGTAAACTGAGGAAAAAAGTGGTATTACCTCATAGTTCCCTCTCATTATACGATAGTTAACAATACTTGTATATACTGTATGTATGTTTATACAGTCATATTTTGTTTAAGTGGGTTAGTGGCCGATCCTATAGTTTATTAGTGTGTGTGTGTGTAAACTGTTTTATTTAACGATACTTTATTATGATATTTGCAATACAAATCAAATTGAAAAGCAAATCCCATTTTTTATGTTATTTATATTTAATCCAATTATAATTTTTCAATGAAAATTGTTAATTTAAATTGTAATTTATTCTTCTTCTTTATTCTATTTATTTATTTAATATTATCAAAACATTTATCTATTATCAATATTATATATATATATAATTTATTTATTTATATAAAGGAGTTACTCTTTTTTATTTGTAATAGTTATAAATACTGTACAAATAAGGCTATTGACTATATAAATGAATTCGCATATATTTATTTAATTGTATTATTGATAATAAAATTAAATTTATTCACAATACAAATTTAAATTATTTATCTCAGATAAATAACTTAAAATTACAAAAAAAATAATTAAATCTTTTGTTATTATTTATAATAATTACTGATATAATACTTTCTATTATCGAAACTTTCTAATTATAACTATTGATATTAATATTTATAAGGAACTGTATGTATATATATCTCACGTAAATTTTATGATAAATATTAGTTAATTATTGAAACAACTTTAAAATAATAAACTAATTTAATTATAATAATATTATTAATTGTTTGATTTTATCTATAACTAAAAATATAAGCTATATAAAATAATTTTTAATTAACTAACTAATCTAAGTCATAATAAAAATCGTGTATTATAATATTACTATATTTGTATAGTTTTTAGTGTAAATAAATGTGAAAAAATTGAACGTTATATAATCATAGAAAATATTATTTTTAATTCACAAAACATTAGGAAACATTATTTAGTTAATCTATTGTATAAATAATGTTATAAAATATTATTAATAACAAAGTAAATACTGTAGTTATGTTCTGTAAATTGTTAAAAAAATCTAAAATTACATGTAATTTTATTGCTAAATGATCAATATTTATTCAAATTATCACAATTTACAAATAGTTAATAAAATTTATAAAAAATACAGTGAACTATGCATTTAGTAATAAAAATTGAATTATTATAAATTATAAAATAGCTTTAAAGTAATTTTAAGAGTCAAAAGTTGCAAATATTTAAATAAACCTAATTTTTTGAGTTTATGTTGGATAATATTTTAAAATTCGTTATATTATATATATGATGAAAAAAAATAAAGGTTGTTAATATGTAAAATACAGTATACATAAATAAGTTTTTATAAAACCTATTATATATATATTAATATAATATTCTAGAATTGTTAAATTGAAATAAAATTTATAGAAGTTAGTCTACAGTATTACAACACAATATATACATTAATAAAATAATTAATTTTATGGATAATAAAAGTATTTAAAAATATGATAACTAATGTTTGAAAATATTTTAATAGTGATACTACTGATAAATAAAAAATGATATCATTATTGATGTCATTATATAACTAGAGAGAGAGAGAGAGAGAGAGAGAGAGAGAGAGAGAGAGAGAGAGAGAGAGAGAGAGAGAAYCATCAGTCAGTCACTCATAAAATTAATACTGTATTTAAAATATTTTTGACTTTCACCTAACTTTTTCATAAATGTTAATAACTTTAGTAGTGATTAAAGTGATTTTTTGCTGTCATAAATACATTAAATATATTAGTCATATACCTATACATAGAGTACTTATTGCATTGTATTTAACAATAACTCGTTATTTGGAGACTATTTTTTCTTAGATATACTCTTAAAAGTGATTTATTGTAAATTTGTTACTTTATTTGTAAACTAATTTTGTTTGACAATCAAAATGAGTCAAACAATTGATCAATTGATTAATAAATTAAAATTATTGGACGTCGAAGAAAAACATGTGAAAGATATTAAGAATAATTTGCTGATGAAAATCAAAGAAATGGACAAACAATTGGATCAAATCTCTTATAAGAGATCGTTGACAATGAAAGAGTTGGAACTAATCTACAGAAGTGAGTATTCAAGTGATAGTGAATTTCAGTCACTTTGCAGTGATTATAGTATGGATCTCAAGAGTTCAGACATCGATAGCAATGATAATCCGCATAAAAGAAAGTTCAGAAGTGATTCAATCAGTGACTTAAAGACAAAAAAAATCTAAGAATGTGTCTTCACTTATAAATAGTGTCGAAGATATCAATAATTTTAATCAACAAATGGTCAACAAATGTATTGATGAGATGGCAACTAAAGTGATCCATGAAATAACGGAAACTAATATGAAACTAATGAAGGAATTAGAGAAACTGTTGGTCGATCCAGAAGTCGAGTCAATTGTCAAAGATGTGGAGGAGAAAGAGTTGCCTAATATTAAAATGAGTTGTTTTACGCAAACGACACCATCGCTGACCACATTATGTCAGTCGTCGGACTCAACAGAAAAAGTCGAAATTACATCCAAAGACTTCAAACAGATTATGTGTTTCTTTGAGAAGAAAATTAAAGAGTGAGTCTATTGAACAATAAAATCAGTGTCAAAATTGTGATGTTTTTAATAACTTAGTTATAAATGTCTGATTTTTTTATTGATATGAGAAAAGCTAAGGTTTTTGAATAATTGTTTAGTTTTTTAAATTTTATGTTTTTCTATTAATAAAGTCTATTAATTTTATTTAAACAATATTATAATAAAATTTTGTGTTATTGTAATTTGCATTCAATTTAAGGCTGTATAATTAAAAAAAATATATATATACTAAAGTTTACTAAAAAATAATTTATTGTCTATTTTTATTTTTTAGACAATCAATTTCTAGTCAAATATCTTAAGTAAAATTAGTTTTTCCTACAATTAAATATATAATATATATACTAAAACAAATAGTGTATTGTATTAAAATTAGATGCATGTGCTTTAAATACAAAATGTTAAATTAAACCTAATTTTTGAAAAACAACTAAATTAATAAAATGTGTGTTCAATAAAAATTTATGTGTTAAACAATAAATCTTGAAACCCAAATATAAAACAACTAATAAATTTTAGTTTAGTTTGTATTTTTTTATTACAAACTAAGTTTATATAACAACATATTTTTATGTTCAAAACAAAATTTTTTTTATAAAATTTTTTTCACTAATATATTATTCAATATTAACACTTTTAAAAAATTAAACATTAATTTTTAGACAATTTTAACACATATTTTTAATTATTGATTGCACGTTTTTAAAAGAAATAATTTTTTCCAAATTGCATTTAATTATAGTACAAAAAAAATATCTAAATATTTATATTACTAATTTTATAAGTAAAATATTTTAATATGTTTTGTAATTTACATGTTTACATTTTAAAAAAATTATTGTTTAATTTGTTAAAAGTAAAAATCTTATAAAAATAAGTGTTAATTAATTCATATACGTTACAAAAATTAATTACAATTTTTTAATTACTAAAAATATAGAATTAATTATAATTTTTGTATTAATTTATTATTATATATAAATTTAGATCTATATGTTTGATATATTGTGTTTATTGTGTATTATGTTTCATAGTTTATGTTTTATTATACAATATTATGATGATTACTATGAACTAAATGTTTGATATTAACTATATAAACACTCCTTAATTTGTATGTTTTACACTTTTAAAAATAAAAAAATATATATGATATATATATATATATAGTCATAAATTGCAGTTTTATAATAAATTTATTGTATAATTGAATATTAAAATTGTTATTTATAGATGTTTAATATATATATATATATATAACTGTATATATATTGAATAAAATTTTGATTTAAAATTTCTTTATTTTATTTCAATTTATTATTAATCAAATATCTATTATATACTTTATATACTTATTTTGCATTAAATTTAAATTATAAGTTGATTATTGAATCTAAATCTTATTATTAATAATAAATATAAATTTTAAATTATAAAAATTTTGACACTCATTTTAAATCATATTATATAAGGCTTTTATTGTTTGTGAAAGTTATAACTTATAACTAATTATTAGTTTTCAATAGTCAATTAATATAATTTGCATCAAAACTGACAGTCAAATAAGTTAAATATAATACATTTTTATAAAAAAAAATTTCATAATATAAATTTGTGAATTGTAGTTAATGACCCAAATATAAATAATATTGAAAATATAACAATTATCAGTGTCATTTTATAAATTCAATGAACTTTTATATTATATATCAATATAAGTTTATATTCAAATATTATATATATATTCAAATAACTATTTGATAAATATTTAATAATAATATATATTTTGAATAAATATAACAATAATAACTACTATTTTATTTGCATTAATATTA